TAGGGTTAAGAAATTAAAACTTGAGGACCTTTGTACTCAGTTTCATCTAAATATTCACTGACTAAATTTTTATTTAATATAAAAAATGTGGTGTTGAGATAATTAGTTAATTGATCATGATATCCGGTTCTTGGTGTTTTGGTCGGGGTGGCCGGTCTGTGGGGGTGGCCAGTCTTTGGGTGACGGACGTTACTTTCTCTTTGGCGCTTCCACTCCTATTCACCCAAACCAGTACTATGTACCACTGCCGCAGGTAACACTCTGATTCGTAAAGAAGGCCACAAAGTCATGACTGAGGGACGTTTATTCTTTGGACATGATGGACATAACTGCATAAGCTTTTAACATCATCTTCAACAACCCATCGTTTGTGAAAGGAAGGGAGGTTCCGGCCTCTGTTTAATTCCTTGACGAGAAGCCCATCGTCCCGGCTCGATTGATCAACGGCTCTCGCGGACGAGGATCACGGCCACGAGACTGTTCGAGCGGCGCAGTGTTTTCTCGACGCAAGGAACGGATTGGCAAAGGAGGAACAGGAGGAGCATGGCTAGGCGATTGTTGAGTTCCTGCGATAGACCGGCTCCGAGGACGGCTACCAACCGTCGTGGACGAAGAAGAGGGCAGAGGTCGAGACTGCCCAACAAGACCAGAGGCACTCCGAGTGTTGAATGAATTGTTCGTCGATCCCCCGGTAGCGAGGCTGATTAAGGGACCACCGGCTGGGGCTTTTACACCATGGCCCTTATTCTCGCGCCAGCGAGGCGGCTCAGGGAAGCTGTTGGTAAGATTGACTAACGGCTGGGGTATATCTGGGACCTTCTCAGACGTGGTAGGCCGCCTATTGGGATCTCGGACAGATCGACTTCGGTAGCGTGGCTGAGAAGACTGATCTGCTCCCAAAGGAAACCATGATTTCGAATCTGCCATATTCTCATTAGGAGACGTAGGCGAGACAACACCACCGTTGAGCAGTGAAGGACCCTCTGTGAAACCTGCGTTCGTTGAAGGAACGCTGTTATTGACTGGCGCTCGCTCAGAGATCTTGCGCTTTTGCTCATACCCTTGACCCAGGAGTGAGGCTCCTTTTGTGAAAGCTGCGTTGGTGGGAGGGGGGCTAATGATAGGTGCCCGTTCAGCTATTTTGCGTTTCTCTTCATATCCTTGACCCAGAAGCCCCGTGGAAGAGAATTGCGCCTCGTCCCGAGGCGTTGGCGGTGACCTATGCTTGTGATGTATTGATTTGGACTTTGTTAATACGTTTGGCTGTTTGCAGGTCGCCTTTCGGACGAGTCCACTTTTAAACTCAGTATCAGGATCCCCATGTTTGGTTTTGTCCTGTTCCAGATCTTTGCCGAACTCCTCCAGGGGCTTATCAAAGCGGTCCATATCAAGAAGTGGCTGGAAAGCGCCGATAGTGTATGGCGTCTCGTCGACAGAAACCTGGGTACTATGACCTTTATAAGCGGCAGAACTCTTCGATCTGGAAATGGCTTTAGGAGCCGTGTCGTTTTCTAAGTGCATGGCAAGTTGCGGGGGTTTGTCCTTTTTCTCGAAGTCAACCTGCTTATTGACCAGATACCAACTTCGCCAACGTTGCACAAGTTCAAGAAAACGCCTGGCAAGTTTTCCGTCTTCAGCGCAGAAGAAATGAACAAAATTCTCGCCGTTTGGGAAAACGAAGGTCTTCTGCTGGCTCTTAACAGCATAGCAAAAGCGTCGGGGGGCTTTTAGATGACGCCTGGCCTCACTCTCTCTTGGTGTATAGATGTCAAAATCTGATAAATGACACAGAACAGTACTGTCCTTGTCCGAAGCCTTTGAATCAGGCTTCTTGGAAGCAAACATCTGACCAGATTCCAGCAAGGTGATCCATCGCTTGTTCCATTTTCCTGGCCTGGAAGAGTGGTACATTTGCAGCGTGAAGCCTGGGGGAGGGGTTGGAGTTCGCGGCACAGACTTCATATCGAGATCAGGGTCATCGCTTTGTGAGATATCATTGGTGACAACAAGAAGAGAGTTCTGCTGGTCACGATCCCAAGAATTCATAACGTCACGAATTCGTTCGTAACGGCGAAGACGCCGTTCGAGACCAAGCTCAACGTAACATTCGATCAATACGCTGGCCTTGGGATCGATATCATGGCTGGTCAGGTTGGCGGTCGAGTACAGGATATCAACAGGAGAAGTATCAGTGTTGACAGGAAGATTGATGACTGATGATAGGCATCGTACGCACACGCGCTACAGAGAAAAAAATCATGTGAGAACCTGAATGAGCACACCTGAGGATTAGGTATAAAACTTACTCTCTCACCTCCATTACTGGCCGAAGTTGGGGCATCAGTGCCTGGCACGATACCTTTACCACCCTGTTCTATGAAACTCATTTTTCCTGGTGATGAAGATTCCTCAGGACTGCTAGGCCGACTGAGATCAAGAGAAAAGATTGTTGGTGCCCCTGGGCTTGGCGTGCCGGCTTGGCTTGTCAAAGCATTCGATCGCCGACTGCGATAGAGAAATGAAAACTTGTCAAGAACAAGAAATCGTGGAAATTTAGGGGACGGAGTCGGGAGTTGCGCTCGGCGGCGGGCGAGGTCGCGTTTCTTCTGCTCGGCAAGGATACGATCAGTCTCAGCTTCAAGACGGGCAACTTCGTCGGCTAGGCGTTCGGCCTCGTCTTCCTCGCGCTCAAGGTCCTCTCGTTCGATCTTTGCAGCGCGCTCAGCAGTTTCAGTATTGATACGCAGAGCGTGTAGGTTGCGACGTTTAAATCTGGCGATATCACTCGCAGATGGCACGGTACGAAGTATAGGTGATTCTGGAGCTGGCAGATCAAACGCATATGTCGGTGGAAGTGGTTTGAATAAGTCTGGGCCCCGGGGACGACTGCGGCTGCGACTTCGACTTCGACTTCGACTTCGACTGCGGCTGCGGTCACGGCCAGTAAGATGCGCAGTGCTGCGGGAGAATTCTTGGTTCAAATTTGGCGACCGTAGAGGTAGAGGTTTCGAAGCTAAGTTCGAAAGGAATGGCGGGATGTTTGTAGTTTTAGGCGTTAGAACATATAACGGACTTGCCAGGGGGCTGCTGGGGCCGGGCGGGACAGCGGGCGACGGCGCGGACTCTGCTGAAGCTAAATTTAAATTGCCTGATACGCCAGCGAAGCTTTGTGCACACACCAATACTGACGGAACCGGGGAGCGAATGATCGAAGGCACAGAACACAGCGAATCCTGACGGTGCCTATTGGGCCCATTGTCATTGTCTGCGCTGGCCGCAATTCGTGGAGAGAGGCTGCCAATGACCCCTGTAACGCTCTCCGCGAGACCTTTCAGGAATTCGACTCCGCGATTGCCAACTGAAACCGAGACTGAAGGGGACGGCAGCGCTGGGACCACCGGCGCAATAAGTTTTCGTTCGCGCGATAATGTTAATAATGAAGTCACACTCCTGGACCGGCGTCGAACAGTTCGCGGGACTAATGTTGGTGAGTCAAGTCGTGGGTAACAATCCCCCTCGGCAAGATGGGCTCCTTCTGATGGCGGGTCGGCATAAACCTCAAATGTTTTTCGAGATTCAGCACACACACTTTTCCCGCGTATACTTCTATATTTCGAAAAGTCCGGTATTGGCGGTTTTGTATCATTGATTGGGAACTGCAAGTAGTCATGAAATTGCAATGGGGCAGCCGCGACCGCCACTGACGACGACATACTAATGGTGCTGCCGCTAACGAATTTGTTCCTGCAGTGGTGAATGGATCCTTGAATAGCACTGATGCAGCCCTATCGGACCCTTCGAGGACCTGAAGCGTCCAACAAGGTTTTCGGATCGATCCGTTGTTGCAAGAAGATTGGGCAGGTCGTCGCTTAAGATCGCCGACAGGACAGGGTTGATCTTAGGCAGGTGTTTTCGTATCTGGTACGTCTACTCCACGGAAGTTGATAAGTGACAGAGAAAGACCGACAAGAAAAGCCGATGGCTTTTAACAACATCCATGAGAACGTGAATTTTCAATTCGATGTTCAGAAAACGATTGCTTTCGTATCCAGACAATACGAGACGGAACCTCAAACAGCGTTCACACCGGGTGAACAGTGCCGACTGCTGATATTGGAATAGGAGCTTGAGTTAAGCTAATCGTGAAAGCTTTTTCAAAGGAGATGCTGTAAGGAGAGCAACCAGCGGCCACAATTTTTGCAATTTCAACAAGCAGTTGACGAGAATTCAAGGCAAGGGCGCGGAAAGGGGCGGGAGTTAGCATCCATAATAACAGAAGCAAGCACCACATGCATGACTTTACGAGAAAGAGCAGACCAGATTTCTAGACTCATCCCTAGACAAAGCTCAATTTTCGATAATGTAATAAAAGCCCGCTCAATTGCAGCAATGGTATGTGGCCAGCTGCAAGAGGTGAGCCTCTGGTATGAGGCCAGGCTTTTAAGGGCCGAGGTCCAACTTGCTCCCTTTAGACATCCATTCCAGTGTTTAACGACGCAAAAATACTTCCTAGGATGGGGACGGATTTACAAAAAATGCCGATTCTAATGAAGATAGCACTTTTAGACGCGGCGGCTCGCGACCGAGTGAACGCCAGCTCTCTACCTTAGCTACCTATTTGGCTAATTAATTGAGACATGCAACTCCCCTCGCACTATGTAGCAGGATTCGAAAATACCTTCTGCAGTGGATAAAACATGTTTTAAACACTAGTTATGGTGTTCCACGAAAGAGTTCCCAACGAATAGAAACGTGCTGAGTTGATATTCTGCTATGATCTGACAAAGTCATGACCAAGCCGTGACTTTTCTGTAGTTGTCTTTAATCATCCTTCAGTTCAACGAATGAAATAAAGAAGTGAGAGTTTCGTGGTCTGGTTTCTTCATACGTCGGGTCTTCAGTCATGTTCTGCGTCCAAGACATCCTCCCTTTTTCCACCAAGCACGACTCAAGGGAACCCTTCGTCTCATCTGAAACTTTTCCTCTAAAGAACACATATCCCACACCGGAATGCAGCGATCCTTGCTGGCAGACGGAAAGGCCTGCTCTCTATTACTTGCGAAATGCGCGAACCTCACGTCTCCACCAGCCTTTGAAGTCGCAGGTTGAAACATCAATTCCCAGATCTTTCAACCCCTTTGTGCTCAGGTGGCAGTCGTAAGGTCGCTGTACACTGGCATTTGGGTCATTCCCTTCCGTGTTGGGCTTAATCCCTTCCGTCGACAGGCCCATTATCTCACCAAATAGTGTCACTATCTCATACTTCGTCATTCGATCCTCTGAGGAAAACTGGAGAACTTGAGGAAGACAAGATCGTTCCTTACTTGGAGTATCGAGGTACTTGACGGAAATATCTGTGCGTAATGTCAGCGGAATCTTCTCGCGCACTTGTTTATCCTCAAAGGGTTTTGGCAAGACTTGTTCAAATGACACCGTGGTTTTGAAACCTGGTGGCTAAAAGCAGAGTGAGACGTACCGTGGCAGACCCTACCGATGTCTTCTGTGTTCGTAGGATAGCGAATTGCCCAGTGGTCCATGCTAATTTCAGCTCCCTGTGTCTGTGCCTTCCATAGTGCATCCATAAGAACATTGACCGCACTCTCGGCTGGCGTCTCAGCGTTCCCATAGAGGACAGGAACTCGAAGGACGACACCTAGGCCCTCCTTTCCAGCCTGCTTCAGCGTGTCTAAGACGGCACGCTCACCATCCAGCTTCGTTTGGCCATAAAGATTGGTAGGTTGAGGCCTGGCATCGGCTTCATATGGAGCATCCCCGGGCGTGCCGGGGAACACGTAGTCGGTTGATATATATATGACAAAGATGTCTCTATCCGCGGCCAGCTTAGCGAGTGCCTTGCTCGCAGCGACGTTGAGTTCACGGGCGCCTTCAGGGTCTTTATCGACCTTGTCTGGAAACCGTTGAGCAGCGCCTTTCGCGTGTAATTGGTTAGTCTCTGTACGAATGAAACATACCAGGTAGCTTACAGTGAACAATAACCTGTGGTCTGAAGGTAGGTAGTAACGTCAGTCTACTGGCACAGCATCCATAGAGGGAAGGGACTGCAAACTTGGTCTCATCCAGAAACTCTCCCACTTCCGTCTCATTGCTTAAATTGACCTTGAAAGTATTGATTCCATCTGCGCGAGAATAGCCCGTTCCTTTGACATTCCAGTTCTTGAGGCCGAACGCTGTAGCGACCTCACGACCGAGGAGGCCTGTAGCGCCGGTGACAAGGACAGTACGCTCAGGCATTACTCAATAATTTGCAGGACAAGTGATATCCTTGAAGTGAATTTTCAGTTATGGGGTTCGGGCGGTTGCTAATAAGGTTGGTTTAGAAATTGAAGTAGCAGTTGAAACGTCATCATCAAGTAGGGTCAAGGTGGGGGTTAACATTAGATGATCATGAGGGGCAAGAAATGACGCTGAAGCTACACGGCTGTAGACATGGATTTTTAACCACTATCTACGACAAGGGAATTAGTGAACATTGTATGGATAACTTGTACCGCATCTGCATCATATTATTGTGCTCCGTTTGGTGCTCGTCTGCTATTGAGTACGATTGAGGCTCAGTGCTATGCCGGTTTAGAAGCACCCCAATTCATAAGTGATGCGAATTGTATCACTTTCTTTTGACTCTATGTCCTTGAATCATAATCGGATATTCCTGTCATGTATACAGCTCTTCTAAGACCACTGGACCTGATCTAGAACTTACCTACACTTTATTCCTCCCAGTCTATCCGCAGGATAAGTCAACGCTCACAATAACCGCCTAGGCATAAACTTTTCGTTGCGCCAGCCTTGAATTTTTAATTTTGTTGTTTCTTATTGAATAATTTTGCAATTGATATTCATAACGGTGACTCCATAACATGAGCAGATTGAAGGAACTGGGCGTGATACTAATCCAAGAAAGGTATGATGAATTTCAAACTATATCACTGTGTATATTTCTAGCTATAACCGCATACATCTTGGGCGATAGTATGCGACTTCATGCAACGCACCAGATCCTAACGTTCCTTTGACAATGCATCCATGTCGAAACCCCTTCTCCGGGTATCTTAGCCTCTGCGTGCATCTCTACTATGCAGTGCTCATCAAAACGGGTTGTTCAGCCACAGTCACATAGGCCTTCAGTCAGACATGGAAGCTGTTCTGAAACATCCATGCATCATGGTTCCTGAGCCATTCAGAGCCAGCTAACGAAACCAGCTCGCAATTTATTGCCTGACCTCCCGGTCAACGTCAGGTTGATGACAACTGAAGGTGCAACGTCGACATGACTAGGTATGTATTGTAGTGACGTACACCTACCTGACAGGGTTGACGTGCAGACGAAGAAGAGACCCAGGATTATCCCAGATGACCTCAAATGTTAGCACAACTATGACCGAATCCAATATTGGTTGCGGCACGTTCCGACTACAGTCAAGATTTCCAGGAACAATGCCGTGATTTTGGATATACAGCTAAGATGCGATATCACTATTGAACGACAGGCGTGGTCCGAGGCTGCAACGCAAGGTATCATGCAAACATTTAACTTTTCTTTTCATGATACGCGTTTTGCACGGCTTGACGGTAACGAATGGGACAAAGCAGTTCGCCCAACGCCAGGCCTATTCCCCATATAGGTCAGGAAGACCCCGGTTGAGAGCATCAGAGAACACAAGCAAGGCGATATGGAAACCACGTAGCGTTGACTAAACATGTGGGGTTCATGGTCAAGTCGTTCGTATTGGACAGGCGCGTTCTGATATGCTGTGTGGTATAAAGACCTGGAGTTATCGGGCCTTGGTTAAGTACTCTCATCTGTCCAATCTTGTCTTTTCTCCTGCTCCTCGGCTTCGGCCTCCCGCCACTCGTCAGGGGTTGTGTGTAAAACTGTGGCCACTGTCGTGAAGGCTGCCCAAATCTCTCCGCATAAAGCTAAATGCAGCACTTGAGTACCGAGAAAGTTGATTGCGAATGTCAAATTGAGATGACTGAAAATATTAATTTCGCAAACGTCATGAGTCGGGAGATTAAGCCGTTGACGGAAACTGTGTGCCATCAACCGCAGAGCGGTTGCTTCCCACGGTGCAGTCACCAATCTCAAAACGGCATCAGCAAAGATATGTGAGGCAATCAAAGGGGGCAGCTGGGTCAGCATCGTATCGCAGTAGGTGGTTGTAGGCATAAGTGCTCCCCTTGCTTCAACGCTTGGTCTTAGTTCAGCGCTCCAGAGCCCAGGAGGTGCTTCGCTGGTTTCAGCTGTGGCCTCGACGTCAAAGCTGATCAAGGTGGCACTAAGCCCTTCATTATCTTCTTCGTCGGTTGCATAGTCATCCCCCCGTGCTGAGAAAGTACTTGGCCGCCGAACAGCTTCTACTGGGCCTGTATCGTTGGGCATGTGTCCGTCGATCGGCCGTATAGGCGACACATCATCGACTGTGCTCCGAGCACGCTGGTGCTCTGATCTGTCACGGGGCCTGTCGGCTGGCAGCCAGCTGTTAGTCACGCCAGGGAGAGAACCAGTGTTCGGTAACCACCGAAATATTCTCGCCCAAATCTGGGGTCGCCAGTCACGGATTAATCTCTGGGACATTACCCAGACGAGGAACGGCGTCGAACATATGCACAGGCCTCCAACCCATTGTAGGAGAGACTGGAAAGAAAGATCCTTCACTGGTGGGGGGGCCGGAATTGGTGAATCTTGAGTAAATGGGACGAAGAAGGATAGACTTGGGAGCCAGTTAGTGCTTGAGGCCAAGCCAAGCCGTTGCAAAGCAATATATAGCTCTAAATGAACCCGAACGTAAGACCAGACTTCGTGGGCGCTGTTGCTTGTAAGCTGGTGAAGTTTAATAACTGGCTTGGGGGAAAGGCTTACAGTCGACGAGCAAACACCCTGTCAGGCCTGTCGCGCCACAATAGAGCAATTTGTCGGTCGATGTAGTTACTGAAAAGATTGACAGACGCACCAGGCAGAAGATCTTGGGAGATAGAAAAGGTATTTCGGGACTGTGCATACAAATCCCAGAACGGGATGTGAGAATAACGTTTGTAAATCTGTCATGGTAAGGTACCTAGTTAGCATATAGAACAGAAAGGTTTATCAACAACATACCAAAACTCGCTGACGGAAGCCATCTAGCCCAAAGGCACCGGCAGCATCCACGCAACGAAGAGCTGAGAAGGCAAGGTTTATGCCCACGTCATCCTCATACATGGCATGACGTTTATCAGACTCGGCCTCTGGATTTGTAGTTGGATTCTCCTGCTCAGCAACCCCAATAACTAGCATAACTTCATTATGGGAACGAATGATGTCTCTGTTGATCCTTTTCGTTTCAGGGTTGATAGGACGGCCTCGGTGGTCATATTGTTGGCCAGAGTCATTGGTATTTGGTGGCTCGTCATGATCATCGTCCCATTCAACAACATCGTCATAAGGAGACCGCCCCTGACAGTGTCAGTAATTCGAGAGCAACAATCGACGGCTCGAGCTAAATGATGTCTTACAAGCGCTTGGGCAGTTAAGGGGCCCTGCATTCCCATGATGAAGGTAGGTAAGCACTCATCAACACAAGGCGGACATGTGTCGCTTCATGTACACTTGATGATATGGCTTAAGTCGCCCTCTTCCTATAAGCTCTGCGCGTGGACTCTCCCTGCGTGTCAAGTATCTGCTGAATGAATTCACCTTGGCGGCAATAAATAAAGGTCGTTCAAAGGAAGGAAGTCATGACGGCTAACCCGATGAGCGAAAATGTGGCGCGTGATGTGGCTGGTGCAGGCGAGCTGATGCACCACATAGCCAATCAGAAGTATGTCTCCGATAAGGCGCCAAAAAAAAAAATACTAGGAAACCTCATGCGCGGACCCATGATATTCTTTACATCGAATATTTGTTAACTCACAATCACAACAACAGAATGGCAAATAAGCAGCCGTTGAAGACTACGTTTGACGTAAACCATGTCATACGCCCCATATTCACAGGGGGATCAGTAGCTATTGACAATAGCGCACGTATTCTAGCCACAGTTCTCGGTGAGGATGCAATTCTCACTGATCCTACAAACGGGAAGCATTTGGCTCAAATTGAGGGTGTAAGGACCACGTGCAAATCACATTAGACCATGACTGACTTTTTCAGGATGGAGAGCTCATTTCCACATTAACTTGTCAGTCTCCAAAGATCGCACAAACATGCAAGCAACTAATACTGATTATAGTAACGCCCTCTGGGTCTCACCTTATCATATGTTCCCGCTCTTTGTCTATGAGGATATACACCTTGAGAGTGTCGCAAGAAGACGGGACTATTGATGCTACACTCACAAGGACAGTGAAGGCGCACACTACCCCAGTCGTCGTTCTGGCAGTTGATCGGACCAGCACACTGTTGGCCACTGGAGGAACCGATGGAGCTGTCAAAGTTTGGGATATCATCGGTGGCTTTGTTACACACACTTTCCGTGGTTCTTCTGTTTTGGTATCAGCGCTCTTGTTCTTCGAAGCTGCCGCTCGGCCGAGCGACAGTCAGTCAGGAAAGGGCAAGAAAACCAAGCGCCTAGAAGAGCCCGATGAAGAAGAGGAGGACTCAAGCACTGTCAATTTCAGGCTGTCATGCGGCCAACAAGATGGAAAGGTCCGTGTATGGGACCTGCACAAGCGTAGTTGCGTAGCCAATTTGGACTCGCACGTCTCGGATGTCCAAGGTCTTGACTACTCCCCAGAACAAAACGCTCTTGTTACCGCAGGCAGAGACAAGACCATAACCTGGTGGGACGCCAGATCCTGGAAGATTCGCAAAGTTGTTCCTTGCCTCGAGCTGGTTGAAGCGGCTGGCTTCATCGACGATGGAAGCTTGACTTATTCCGCTGGTGCCAATGGTTCTCTTCGCATCTGGGATACGGATATGGGCAAGGAAATCACTCCCCAACAACCTGCGAAAAGTGAAGAGGAAGGTATTGTGTCTGGCGTTTACCGCCCTGGTCTCCCTTTTATTCTCCTTGTCCAGGTTGATCATACTCTTGCACTATATAGACCTCCTCGAAAGGCAGACACCGCTTCCCTCCCTACTCCAGAACCCTTCCGAAGGATATCAGGCACACACGACGACATCATCGATCTCGGATATTTGCTTCCAGACCGCTCGATGGTTGCTTTGGCCACAAACTCGGAGGATATCAGGATTGTCTCAGTCGCCGAGACTCAGAATGGGGAAGCCGACTGGGATTCGAATTCAAATCCTTACTTTGGTCAAGATGTTGCTCTGCTGAAAGGTCACAATGAAATTGTCATCTCATTGGATATCGACTGGTCAGGTCACTGGATTGCTACCGGAGCGAAAGACAACACCGCCCGTCTTTGGCGTATCGATCCTACAAACAACTCCTATATCTGCTGGGCTGTTTTCTCCGGTCATGCTGAATCATTGGGTGCTGTTGCGTTGCCCAAGGGAGTACCTCCAGAGTCCTCGCCAGCTCGATCAGACCCCCTTAACCATCCTCCTGCATTCCTCATCACAGGGTCTCAAGATCAGACCGTCAAGAAATGGGATATCCCCCGCACGGTTCAGCAGAAGGGTCAAAAGGGTGGTTCCCGGGCCATCTTCACTCGCAAGGCTCACGAAAAGGACATCAACGCCATTAATGTTCACCACTCGGGCCAACTTTTCGCCTCCGCATCTCAAGACAAAACTGTCAAAATTTGGTCGGTGGAGGAGGGTGAAGTTCAGGGCATCTTGCGTGGTCACAGGCGTGGTGTCTGGACAGTTCAGTTCTCTCCTGTCAATATGCCGGCGATTCAAGGCGAGGATGGACCTATTACTGGAAAGGGCGCTGTCCTCACTGGCAGTGGTGACAAGACCATCAAGCTATGGAATCTTGCCAGCTATACTTGTGTAAGGACTTTCGAGGGCCATTCTAACAGTGTCTTGAAAGTTGCATGGTTGAACATGCCCGCTAGTCAAGAACAGTCCAAGAAGCGAGTCCAGTTCACTAGCGCCGGTGGTGATGGCCTTGTCAAGGTTTGGGATGCCAACTCAGGCGAAGCTGACTGCACACTTGATAATCATGAGGATCGTGTTTGGGCTGTGGCTGTTCACCCCGAGGATAACACTATTGTGTCCGGAAGTGGTGACTCAACTGTCACTTTCTGGAAGGACACATCGTCAGAGACTCAAGCTGCTGCGTCCCAGGCTGCTCTCAAACTGATCGAGCAGGAACAGGAGCTCGAGAACCACATACACGCCGGCTCATTCCGCGAGGCCATCATTCTTGCATTGCAACTCAATCACCCTGGAAGGCTTCTCAACTTGTTCACATCAGTTATCACAACGAACAACCCCGATAAGGGCAGCTTGAGTGGCTTAAGTGCTGTGGATGAGGTACTGGGTAGCCTATCCGATGAACAGATCTTCATGCTGCTTCTGAGGCTGCGAGACTGGAATACAAACGCGCGCACAGCTCCTGTAGCGCAGAGAATCTTGTGGACTCTGATTCGCAGTTATCCTGCCTCCAAGTTCTCGAATTTATCTGTCAAGGGGGCTAAGGGACAGAAGAGTCTGAAGGACGTGTTGCACGCCATTCGCGTGTACACTGAGAGGCACTACAGGCGTACCGAAGAGTTGGTTGATGAGAGTTATCTGGTGGAATATACCCTGCAGGAGATGGATGACCTTGCGCCATTGTTAGAAGATGGGGATGGCCTAATTAAGGATGCGGGTAACGATGTTGTCATGGCAGGATAGATCAAAACCAATATCTGCTTTCTTTCCTTCATATTTGTTCATTTGGCTAGGTAATTAGGTATGGTCATTCTGGCATATTCTCCGGAGTACAAAGGTTATAGACAAAAGGTTGTTTTTCTACCTATCTTGTGGCTGTCATCGGTAATAAAACAATATAGTCTAAGACCTACTTATAAATGTCATCTGTGGTGACAGGGATATTCAGGTGGCCTCCACTGCCGGAGTGGGCCTGGACCTGAGCTTCAAGGCTCCACCCAATAACCACAATCGTACTTGGATCTTGAATCTTTCTTCCCTGGCATCAAGTCTCAACTACGATCACGCGAACGCGACCACGGCCACGGTCGCAAAGAATCATTATATTGTAGACCCATACAGAAGCGAGCTACATTCATAAGACTGTCTGAGATTAATAATGGCCAAGCGCCAGGCCTCCGAGGCCCTCGACGATCTTGTTGGTGTTGCGTCGCCAGCTTCGAAGAGATCTCGATTGGACGACATTGATTCACCCGAACCGAACGGTGCTTCGAACGAACTCATCGATGAGTCTAATACCCATGGAAACGCGCAAGAAGACGACGCAGACGAAGAAGACGACCAAGACCCCACTGCCACAGCACCTATAAGACAATCAGCACCTACTGACGGGTATGATGACCTTTACCTCGATACTATCGATCGCAACGTGCTCGACTTCGACTTCGAGAAGCTGTGCTCCGTTTCCCTTTCGAACATAAACGTTTACGCATGTCTTGTTTGCGGAAAGTATTTCCAAGGTCGTGGTCCGAAGTCCCACGCTTACTTCCACTCGCTTGACGAGGATCACCACGTCTATATAAATCTCGAGACTCAACGCGTCTATGTCCTTCCTGAAGGCTACGAGGTCAAGAGCCGCGCGCTCGACGACATCAAGTACGTTTCGGATCCGCGATATAGTAAGAAGGAGGTTATCGAGATGGACCGCACACCACGTACCAGCTACACCCTTGATAGAAAAGAGTACATCCCTGGATTTGTGGGAATGAACAACATCAAGGACAACGATTATCTCAACGTCATAGTACAGGCTCTTGCGCATGTCGCGCCATTACGCAACTACCTACTTCTCGAGGACTTTTCGAACAAGACGGAGCTTGTCAAGCGATGCAGCATTCTAGTCCGCAAGATCTGGAATCCGAGGGCGTTCAAGGCTCACGTCTCTCCTCATGAACTTCTCCAGGAGATATCACTGCGCTCAAACAAGCGCTTTACCCTCACAACTCAGTCGGATCCTGTCGATTTTCTGTCCTGGTTCTTGAACAACCTCCACCTCGGGCTCGGTGGCAGCAAGACCAAACCTGGCAGTTCCATGATCCAGCGTACGTTTCAGGGTAAGATGAAGGTTGAGTCTCAGGCCATCACAGCTCGTGCCGACGCTACTGATCGACTGCGTTTCGAGGATGCGGATGTCAAGGTGGACATTGTGCGCTTCCTCCTTCTGACGCTGGACCTCCCGTCAGCGCCACTCTTTCAGGACGAGCTCGAAAAGAACATCATCCCTCAAGTTCCCCTGACAACCATTCTCACGAAATATGACGGTCAGAGGGCTCAAGAACACCACGCTCAACGCAAGCGTTACCGACTCATGCACCCTCTTCCCCCCTTTCTTGCCTTTCACGTCAAGCGCTTCTCCCAGAACAAGTTTGTTTCTGAGCGCAACCCAACAATCGTCACTTTTGACGCGCGTAATCTCGACATGTCGCCATACGTTGAGCCAAACCCCAAGGAGTGGCCCCCAGGCGAGCCCATCTGGTATGATCTGGTAGCCAATGTCATTCACGAAGCTGTTCGAGTACGAGAGGACGTTGTTGACAGCGGCGAGGAACGTAAGACGTGGAAGGTTCAGCTGAAAAATAAGGCAACGGGTGAATGGGTGGTTTGTCAAGATTTATATGTTGATAAAGTACAGAGCGAGCTGTTATATCTTGGTGAGGCATATCTCCAGATCTGGGAACGGAGGAGAGATCCCAGGGGCAAAGGCAAGGCCTCATGACGGTAAATACCACCAATAGTGAGCCTCTATCCGTGCATACACAATAGATTTTAATACCACAATTTCACGATCCAATCTTCTCGTTCCTGGAAGAGAAATCTCAGCTCCATAAGCTCGCTCTTTGAACTGTAGCTCTCGCTGAAATACGCTATGGCGAGCCGTACCCGATCATACGCAGCTAGTAATACATCGTTCATAAACAAGGTCATCACCGTGACCTCGCCCGTCGTGCCCAGCCGATGTCTCATATCTAGTTGTCCAGTCCACCTACCCTAAGCCTCATAAACACGGTATCACAGCCCCCATCCAGAAGAATTCTCCAACTCCGCCCAAAGGTGATTGTGGAAACAAAGGAACAGAACGAGCAAAAAGAACATGCCCCTCAACGCTGACGTTTGAAGGCACTCATGATATACAATACAAAGACTACACCGAGATGGGTTTCCAAGAGCGCGCTTTAATCTCCTAAGGGTGGGACTGTTCAGCTGCCTGCTTCGAGGGCCCGGCTGTGTGGCGCTTGTCGTGGTGGTGATGTTGGCCAGCCTTTTCGCGGCGCTGCTCCTCGATGGCTGTTCGTTGTTGAATGCTGGAATCGTGGCTCTTGAATTCGATGCGAGTGCTTGCTGGAAAGTTAAGGACATGCTTCATCGTCTCGCTGTTCACCGTTTAGCTAAAATCAGAGTAAGTCGATTACACGCCATTGAAACTTACCGAATCTTAATAACTCGACCACCATCAGTGCGAGTCCAGATGCTGAGAATGTCCTCACCATTGCGAACACTCAACACAGCACCACAAACATCATCGCCAGCATCGGCAAACTGATCACCAATGAGGCTGAGAATGAGATCTTCCCAGTACCTGTCTGCTACACCCTTCTTCATCCGAACCACCCACTTTCCGCCCTTCTTGTTAACATCATCCTCCCATATTGGGCGAATGCCTTTCTTGAAAAGGTGAAAATCAGAGACAACGGGGAGTGTAGAGGGACGTTTCAGGTGACGATAGATCTCCCAGAATTCTTCCCCAGTCCGTACAGTTGCGATCTCGTGTAGCGTCTTCTCATATTCGATGAAGCCGTGTGCCTTCGAGATCGGGGGTCGGTACCAAAATGTCCATGAATCAACTAACGCATGTGAAGGATTTGCCGTGGATACCCCAGACTGGTTGTTCTCAGAAATCGCAGTCATGCCAGCTCCCTTGCCCGCATTCTTAGATGGGTCCTTCGTGCCAGACTTGACTACCGCTGATGCCATGGCAGTATCGAAAGGGTTGGCTGAATTCTTCGGGGTTTTAGCCGACCCAAACGAAGCAAATGCTCCAGAGCCTAGGCCAAAGGCACTGGAGGCACCGCTCGTGGGCGACACTAGACCTCCAGGTGTGGTGTTGAAAGGGTTCGGTTTAGTCGACGAAGGAGTATCGCCACCTTGGCGCTTGGGGAATGAGGCATTGCGATTGAAGGTGTCACCACTGGACCCTTGTCCGGGTGTTGAGAGGGAAAGCTTGCCGGTGCTAACAAGGTGTTGGTGAGAACTCCAAATTGTAGGTGAATGTGCAACTTACTTTGTGCGGCGGGACCAGAGGTTGCTAGTATCCATCAAGACCGAATGGGACAGGTCTGTCGACAAATCGATAGAGGGCGGGGAAGACCTGGTAAAGACGCCTTGAATAGACCAGGGAGAGAATCGGAGAAAGCGTGTGCGACGTCGATACGCTTATAGACTGCGGCTGGTAGTGTCGGTGTCGATTTAGTAGAAATAGCGGTCGACGTTCGTGATGCTGGCCGTTGGGAGTTACACTGTCTCAAGGTTGAGTGAGGGGGGCGATCAGTAGGTTCACGGCGAGATTTGTTTAGGATCGAAAGATATTGTATGATACGGTTATGGACGAATTCGTGACGTTGTGGTGTTTCACAGTGTCGTAGTACGGATTACAAAAAGTGCTGGAGAGATTGGAACGTCAAAGATGAGGTTGTTGGATGTTTGGGAATTTTGATTTGGGAAGAGTTGCAAGTGGGAAAGATAGTATCTTAGAGGTATGGAAGAATTTCTGACAGCCCACCTACTAAGGTACTAACCTAACGTTACCTTAGTACTAAAAAAATCCGACAGCACAGCGGGAGGTGAGTGACAGGCCTGTGTACTTTTTATGTAGCCTCGCGGCTATCTTCATATGGTCGTGTACTTAGAGTTTACTCACGATGGCCCCTGTCAGAGCGCAAGCCCTGGAAGCTAGCACCCATCTCGCTGGGAAATACTCCAGCCAGGCTGCGAAAAGCCTGTCCAACCTGCCTGACTATGCTAAACGCCCATCGCCAGCCCCCAGGCCCCGTCCACATATGAAATCATGACCGATTCTACAGAGCAGTACATACCGTGACGATCTAGGTACCTTACATTAGAGGTCGCCCCCAAAAATGACGACAGTGACCGAGTAGTCCCATGTTAATGTCAACTGAGGTAGCCTGAGAAGTTGAGGCTCATAATTACTGGTCGAGGTAGTCAGAAAAAATTGTGGAATAGTGAAATTACCTTTCCCAAGAGCCGGTTCAGAATTTCGAAAACAATATGCACAAGTGAGTAACACAATGGCGATATGTCTTTCAGTCTCATCCAAGACAACCCCCATTAATCGTTTCCTCATCACTAGCACTGATGAACCGAACTCCCGTGCCTTAATTATGAGATCTGCTGAGAACCAGGTCACAGCCGTTTCCTTCTCGGCATAATAGTACTATGAGGTTGATTAGTGTTTTCAAAAGATCTTGGTAAATTGACTTGTGAATGGTTCCCTTGGAGCTGGCAGTGACATTCGACTCCGGACATGTGAGATAAACCAAAGAAACCAGGGTTTGATACATGCAAGACCCCTTACCCACGACTGAGGGGATGATCATGACTTGTAGGTTGGTGGCATCATGAATCTCCGATGAGTCTTGATTCGCCTATCCTGGATAGGAGACTAGAACACTGGCAGGTCAGGCATCAAGACCCTTTCAAGTACAATTTTGCGACAGGTATTACACTTGCATTCGTCGAGCATCATAGAAATCTTGTAATGCCAGACTGACATAAGCATCTAGCAGTTACCTGGAGGCTCTTATCCGACATTCATGTTGGGTAAGGTATTTTCAGAACTCCTATCACCTGACTTCTCCCTATTGGCGTGTAAAGTAGGTAACTAGCGGTCGCAGACTACAACTCATCTCCCGGCTTATTATAATTGCTGCATCTTTACCATTGGTCTTGCTACTATGTACGTATGAGTTCGAGTTTCATCAAAGCTGAGACCAATCGCCCCTTCTAGGCTCACCCACTCGGCCCCACTTCACAGCCCAAAAAGTTTCTTATCGTGACCTCTTATCACATTGCTCCAGGAAAAAAATATTCCTGGACTTAGGTCGACAACACTCAAACCTTGAGGTACCGAGGATACATCTCAAGCGCACACCTCCACCACTATCGCAATGGGTGTCACACGAACAAAGACCATCAAGAACAAGCACGCCGCTGCTCCTGGTGCTGCAAAAACTTCCAAGCGCTCCGCCACCGATGGCATTGCTAAGTCCAAGAAGCCAAAGGGCCCCACGCTGAGCAAGCAGGTCAAAGACAAGGGTCGCGAGGCACTTCTGCAAAAGTTCAAGAACCCTAAGAAGAAGAAGTATACGGACCAACAGCTGGGTATTCCTGAGCTCAACACAGTCACGCCTGTGGGCGTTATCAAACCTCGCGGCAAGAAGAAAGGCAAGGTTTTTGCTGATGATCAGGTAAGAAGCTATGGTCCCTAACGCGCTTGCGTATTTCTAACCTGCTATCCCTTTAGGAAAGTATGAGTACTATCATGGCGCTCGTCCAGGCGGAGAAGGACGGCCAGATTGAGTCCAAGATGATCAAACAGCGTCAGATGGAAGAAATTCGCGAAGCGCGCAAGGCCGAGGCCGAGAAGAAAGAACAAGAAAAGCAGTCGAAACTTGAGGATACCAAAGACTCTCTCCGAAAGAGGAGAAAGCGCAAGAGTACAGGTGACGCAGAGGACAACATCAAGGAGTTCACCACGAGCGGTAGCAAGGGGACAAAATCAAAGGGCAAGAAGCGAGTATCGTTCGCCTAAGCCCTCGACCGATGATATGGCAAAAGTTTCCGGAGTTTTTGCATTGTTTGGCGCATGGAGTTCGATAGATAGGCTGAGGTCATACCATGATTTCTGGTGGTTTCTGGAGATTCAGCGGTATAAAAGCACAAGACTGTATTCGAACCATGGTTGTTCCTTCGGATGCAGATCTACTCAATAAGATGGAATGATCGGATTCATTTTGAGCTTTGAGCTTTGAGCATTCTGTGTCAAATCTATGATCTATAAACGCGCTTCTATAAATGTCTATACTGTGCTAATCTACTTGTGGTCATCGACTGCGTCGAGGGGCCCTTCTTAGAGTTCTTTGGAATGGGTTGACTTTGTGTCAAGTCGGCTGCTTAGTCTTCCACAATGACCAGCTTGCGTCGCATGGGGATGTAGCCATGTCCGTCGGCTAAATGATCATTGTTGTTGGGGTTGACGAGAGGCCTGAGATCATTGAGATCAGTCTTGAAAGCAAGATGGTTTAAGAAGTTGGCAACCTATAAATATTAGTTTTGATGTCTTACGATTATCACTAATAAGAACTTACAGGTTTTGTAAACCAACGATCGCCCGAGGTTTCAAACCAGCACAGATGTCCTCCCAGGCTAGAGGTAAGAAGGACAGTGTTGGGATTCTGTTTGAATTCTTCATAGGGAATAGCTTCCTTAACAGCAATCTTGTAACGGTTAGAAATGGTTGATAAGTTACAATAGAGCAGAAAACCGGAGTCCTTACCGGATCATCAGTTGAGTGGACAGCCAGGAAAGGAATTTCAATGGAAAGAATGGAATCCACCGATGAAGCATCGCGGTAGTATGCACTCTCCGTCGGATACCCCCAAGAAGGACACCTGGCAAAGTCAATTTTTAGTCAGAATAGAGGGAAGCGACTCACTGGATGAGGCGATCAAACTCATAGAGATACGTGATGTTCATCACGGCCTCGACATCGATTTTGCTGTACTTTTCCAACTCGGTTCTATGTGTGGCAGCGAGTTCCTTCAGAGCACCTTGATAACATCAGCAAGCGTTTTAATAAACTACGTATGAATATGTCGACTCACTCCCCATGACTCGAAGATAAACTTCTTTGCCGATGTAGCTGTTTTGTAGGATCTTGCTGGAAACTTCTAGATTGAATGGGTTGCTGCATACAACTGCTCCTTTGAGGACACAGTTGGGACCCTCCTCGCCACAGTAGTTTGTGTTAGACTGAGCCAAGATTCGGGGAAGTAATACTTATATAGTTTGTGAGCATGTTCGCTCCGAGAGAGAACCCTAGGCCAAACAAAGGTCGGTTAGGGAAAGTTTTCTGTAACCATTTTATTGTCTTGGATGAATATTAGTGGGATGTTCTCCTTGAAGCACGAGTATCCTTTACCTGACGAATATCCCACGTCGCTCGAGCGTTGTACAAGACACCACTGGTGATCTTGCTACGCGCACAACCTCGCGAGTTAACAACGCAGACTTCCCAGCCGCCCTCGCCAATCAATGGCGCAATAGTATGTCGAAGGTAGATCTCGTGAGAACCACCTGAAAGGCCATGCAGAACAACAAGCATGGGCTTGTGGTCGTCTGACCCGATATGCTCAAACTCTTCCGGAGTGAAGTATGCTGTTCGTCGAGACAATGAAGGGTCCTCAGGGGCCTCAAAAGGCTCAACAGCAAAGTCCACAGCGAACGTTCCATGGTAGATCTTGTGGTCAGCGTCAAAAATCTTGCGCTTATAATAAATCTTGGGTCCAGCAGGCTTGGTCGCTGTCCACATCGTCTGCAGGTGGCCATTGAAGAGCAGTGGGTTCAGTCGGCATGGCGGTGTTGCCTTTTCGCAGATGGATAAGAGATCGGTGACATTGCCATCTTTCTCTTGCACCTTTCGTGGTGAAGGCGCATGAGTGAAGTTGAGTTCTGCGTGTCCAAGCCACTCCATGATGAGATCCGTACAAGCCGTGACCGACGTATGTGAACCACTTTCAGACCCGCGTGAAAAGAAGAGAAGAATCGAGCACAAGCAAAGATGGATACAGCTGAAAGGGGGTGAGGGTAGGGACGTATTAATAGATTTTTGGCATTTATCAACCAGCAAATTGCCCCCTCCATCCTCCGACGACAAAACGGAACGACTTCCATGCCCTGGCTAGGTAGCCTGGTTCTAGTTGATCCTACGGTGGATACACCCGTTCCGGTGGCCGAAACAACCATCGCTGGCATGGATAGATCTGTACCTGCTATCATTTATACTTTTATTTGTATCTAACTTAGAGATCTTCCAGGTTACTAACTAAAAATTCCAGTTAAGGATTAAAGTATCTAAATCTCGCGTGCTACAAGTGCAATTACTATGTCACTCATAAATGTTATAATATCGGTCTAATTCCCGCCTTACTTCTAGATGACCTTACGGAATGGTCTTTGTTGAAGACTTTTACTTTAGATCAGGTCTGGTGCAGCGTTGGTCTCGTCCATCTGAGACTTGCATTTTAACTTCTTACCTGGCGCTCGGCAAGTGGGGTCACAATGACCAAAGAACCGAGGCACGATTTTAGGCGATTTCATAAGCAATGAGCCTCCTAAAATGTACCTTAGCGCAGCTGCAGGGTACAACTGACAGTGATTATCCGTACTGATGTTGGGTATTGATGCATGTACGATAAACCGATGCAAACATTGAGACTGGAAACGGGGTTACATTGAAAGAAACAAAGCTCAATCTCTTCCTAATTATTTTATCCTTCCCTATGTGCTGTTATATATAACTTAGGTATATGGTCCTATCACGAGTCTCCATGCAGTTAGAGATGCCATATGTTCAGCGCATCCAGATACTATGGTAATGCTCTTTAAGACATATTCTCAATATTCTCCAATCCACCATTCGGTTGGTGGTTCAGCTTCTTTCCAGGTTGTGATACCAAGGTAAGGCCACGTGCATCTGTGTTTTCACGTGACTAAGACGCTTGCTCTTCCCGGCACTCTGGAATTTCCCACAACAAGGATTCAACCATCAACCTACACCCAGTCACAATCGCCAGAAGATGACCAACTGGCTGCTGTTCTGATACTGTGATAATAGACGACAACTGGATGATGGTCTCAAAATGGCTTGCAATTTCCATTTGGCCAGGCTGACCACGAAATGAAATGGCCCGTCTATCGACCGAGCGCACTATATAGTGCTCCCATCCCCTTCCGACAATCCGAACCACCATAAGCACACCCTTCAACCTCATCACCATTCCGTACGCCTTGTTTTGATGAACCAGCAGCTATATGCAACTTGCTCTAACGCATTCGAAAACCTCCACGTGTACTGGAACTTCATTCATAAAACCGAAGCCCTGGAAGTCCCGCTCCTACTTCAGTATGGTCTGCTAAGATGCAGGCTAAAATTATCACAGCCTTATCCATCTTGCACCAGGTTTTGGTTCTCCTGCATGGTTTTGCTTCGGTTGCTGCGATCTGCTTCGTGCGCTGAAGCCTTTTAACACTCGGTTCTCCATAACATTGGTCCTCATTGTCGCAGGCATAGGAAAACTCTGCCTTGCAGTCCATACAACCAAACAATGTTGCACTGATTCGGGCATCATTTAACTGGCTGAAGGGGTAATTCATCACATGCTTCAATTCTGATTTTTTTTACCATGAATGCAGCACTGGGTGCTGATATGGTCTTGGATGACCTCCGAGTCGAGTCGTCTGATAAGGGCCGATAATCTATGGCAGCATGACTCTGTTATCAGAATTTGGCAGGCTTTCTGGCTCTTGTTTCTTGTTCGAGAGCATGAATTGCTATCTCAGGCGCAGCAGGTGGATTTTGCGTCACCATGATGTGTCTTCGCACTCGAAGTACTGGATGGCTTGGCTGGACGAGCATTGACGTGTTAAGAGGAAGTCACAGTCGTGATTTGGACTGTCGTAAATTATCCACATGGATTCGTATGTAGTTCTTTTGCTCTTTTGAGAGCAGCGATACGATGAGATCATGCTGTCTCTTACTTGGTGGAACCATTGGGGGTTAACCCAAGCGATCCAACCATCAACAGCTAACACCAAGGCGCTTGATATTTGCAAACATCTCCGGACGGACGCTGCACAATAGCCAGTGCATGGGCGAAAGCATGACACCCAGAGAGCTGGAAGAGCGTGCAAGTGCATGTACTCGGGAAATTCATCAAGTTCGTCAAGAGCTAGAGATATCTGCCCATTTCGATCATTTCTGCGCCTATCACCAGCTTCCGGTGCTTTAGGACATGAGTTTACTCGGGGTGAGCCTGAACTACTGACAGATCCTGGCAAGGCAACTCTAACGCAAAACTCACGTTACCCCAATCGTTGGCTTCATTCTTCCTTTCTTTTTGTGTCAATCGCGCTGATTTTGCAGATGACAAAAATTCCCCGACCTGCATTGGGCCAAAAAGCCTACGTCTTAAATTCCCCGCGACCGCACGGGGCCACTGATAGTTAGCGGGTCACCACGTCAAGGCTCAAGGTACCTGGTCATTCCCATCGGTTAAGGTGCGGCCCCTAAGTAACCACTGAAAACTCGACGCCCAGCTGCACTCATGGAGAACGTATCCAAACCTCCACGTCGACGTCGACATGCTGCCATGAGAGACGAGCGAGAACTTAATGACCAAGGAGAACGGGCTCGACATGAGCGAGGAATGAAGCCCTCACAGAGATCAAGGTCGCCCCGTCAAGTTCGCGATTCTCGCCACGATTCCGACGCACGCCGCAACCGCCCACCCATAAGACCAGATTCTCATTCATCTCGCCGTCGTCGCCATTCGCACGATCGTAGTCGTGATCGCGCTTCTCGTCTATCGCCCGAAACATCACGTCGAGGACCAGAAGTCGAAGATCTTATTCCGCGTTATCGAGAACGCCATCGCGAAATCGAGGAGAAGCCTCCGCGGCGAAGCCAGAGCCGAAGTCCAGGCCACGACTATATCAGCAGGGCATCGCCCTCGGCAGCCAAACGACATCGAAGTCGGAGCCCTTCTTTAACCATTTCCAATCGAAAGAGATCCAGAAGAAACAGGAGCCCAAGGCCAAGGACAAGGGACATCAGCCTAGAGTCTCCATCTAGGAAGCACGCCAGGCACTCCTCACGCGACCGACGTAAAACATCGCCTCGCCAACAAGCACGATCTTCTAGATCCCCCACACGTTCACGACCTAGATCCCCAGCAAAGTCGGACTCGGGTTCGCGACGGGCAGACCGAGAGGCTCAGTCCCAGTTAGAACGACCTCAACCACGGTCACGAAGCCGATCGCTTACATCAGAGCACCACTTTGCTTCATCCCGAAGAGCTCGTGCATCATCTCGTGAGGATCAACGGACGTCAGGTCTTGAGCGGATTTCCTCGCGGCGACAGCTTCCACCACGATCACCTCAAGCAAGTAGGGAACGGAGATCTCGAGAAGGGTCGCCCGGTTGGCGTCATTCTTCGAGGTCCGATATTGACGAAGATATGACCTCCAGAAGCAATCCTCGAGGAGGCTATAACCCGAAGTATCACCAAAAATCACATATCAGTAACGATCAGTATTCCCCATCACCCCAACACGCTTCGTACCATAACTCGCCTTCACGATCACCCTACGGGCCATCACGTGGTGGATGGAATGGTCATCAGTAAGTAGACCCTGGCAATAAGCACAAATATAATCGTCTATTGACGCCATTCTAGGTCCTACCCACCTCAGTATCCTCAAGGGAGTAGTCACGGTCCCCCAAGTGGCCCTTCTAGCCATTATCATTCCAATACTACACGGTCACCGCCATACGCCGCTCCGACAGGCCCGATGCAGCAGTACCCTCAGGGGGGGAGCTACCGCGGTGGCTACAGAGGTGGCGGTTTTCGAGGTCGTGGGAGAGGTGGCTTCAAGAATTCTCATTGGAACTCAGGCCCTCCTTCAAGAGGACACCACGATGATTTAGGCAATGAACGCTTCAGCAATGTGGACGACCACGGAAATACAGGTTCTGAGCCTATGGATGTTCAGGAAGAAGTGTTTCAGTCTCACGATGAATTGGGCGAAGACACCAGCCAGAGTGTTCAGGACAGAGCAGGCCCATTGACTACCCCCAACAGACCACCCCCATCTGGTCCAGGAGGTTCATCTGGTAGCAAGTTCAGTTTTGCCTTCAAACCTTCATCAAAGCCAGCGGTCACTGCGCCAAAGCCCGAGATATCACAAAAGTTGAATGCGGCTCCTCGGCGGGAACCTCAGCCGGAGAATCGAGACAGAGATCGAGACAGAGATCGAGCCCGAGATCAAGAGCGCGAACCTCCCCGAAGTGCACCGACAGAGCCAGCTTCCTCTCGACCACGCCACGAGCGTCGCCATCCTCCCGAAGGCCCTAGAGTTGCGCCCCGTATGCGTAAGGTGATGAAAATCATGAAACGACCGAAGCCAAGACCGACTCTCCCAGCTGATCTGGTGGACTCGGAATCTGTCTTCTTCAGAAAACCTGGAAACGAATCAGTCGTTGGCTCCGGTACCTATGGCAAGGTTTTCAAAGGCCTGAATGTTTACACAAAGGGAATGGTTGCCCTCAAACGAATTCGAATGGAAGGCGAGCGTGATGGTTTTCCTGTCACAGCTATCCGAGAAATCAAGCTTCTTCAATCTCTCAGACATGTCAATATCGTCAATCTTCAGGAGGTTATGGTCGAAAAGAATGATTGTTTTATGGTGTTTGAGTACCTGTCGCATGACCTCACAGGACTGCTGAATCACCCTACATTCAAACTGGAGACGGCTCAAAAGAAAGACCTCGCTAAACAGATGTTCGAGGGCTTGGATTATCTCCATACGCGAGGGGTACTCCATCGCGATATCAAGGCCGCAAATATACTCGTCAGTAACGAGGGAGTCCTCAAGATTGCTGATTTTGGCCTCGCTCGATTCTACGCCAAGCGTCACCAGCTGGACTACACCAACCGAGTCATCACCATCTGGTATCGCTCACCAGAGCTATTGCTTGGCGAGACTAAGTACACTGCTGCTGTTGATGTCTGGAGTGCAGCATGCGTCATGGTTGAGATTTTTGATCGGAATGCCATCTTCCCGGGTGACGGAACCGAGCTTAGCCAACTGGAAAAGATCTACAACGTGATGGGCACGCCGAACTTGAAAGACTGGCCCAATCTCATTGATATGGCTTGGTTTGAACTTTTGCGCCCAACTGTGAAGAGAAGGAATGTCTTCGCAGAGAAGTACCGTGATAAGATGTCACCAGCCGCCTTCGACCTGCTCTCCGCCATGTTCCATTACGACCCTGCAAAAAGACCCAGCGCTGCACAGGTACTCCAACATGCATACTTTACGGAAGAAGCACCAGCAGCCCGCCAGGCTACAGAGTAAGTTGATCAAGCTTGTATATGACAAGCATCACTCACTAACCAATCCGTAGACTCGCAACACATAATGACTGGCATGAATTCGAGTCTAAAGCCCTGAGGAAGGAAAACGATCGACGCGAGAGAGAAGCTAAAAAGCTGGCTAAAGAGAATGCCGGCCGGGACAAAGAGAAAGATAAGAAACGTATTAATGAAGGGACCGACCAGCGCGACACAAAGCGGTTACAGGTTGACAAGAATGGTGGCAACAAGCCCACGCCGGCAGTCGCACCACCGAATTCGACCTCTGAAGCGTAATATTCATGACACCTTGATCTATAACTCGAAACGATTACTCCTCGGCTTCACACCTGGTATTTTCGAACATAGACGGCATTACGCCATCTGCAGGAGACTTCTAGGCAATCTGACGTTTCCCATCCTCTTGTTGGGCGTCTCCGTACAGGCCAAGGCGACCAAATCAGTGGACTGGCGTTTTTGTTTTTATATCTCATCCTTCGTTTCTTTTGAGTCTCAGTGGCTTCATAACTTATCATGTTGGAACCTAAAGCATGCATAATGCATGGGCGCTGGCATGGGTTTCTGATTGTTTCGCCGGCTCCATGGCCTTGTTTTTTGCATCCTGCCTATTGGCGCAGGATGGGCAGTGGTCACAGAGGGGGGACAGAATTTCCTTTTTGACGAAGGCATGGCAAAGTATTGTTGCTATATAGAAATGACCAAGACAGTGAATCAAAGACAAAGGGCGAAAATTAGACAGCGAAAGCCCATTAATGTGTATTAAGCCATCCTCAGGGAAGACAATCGCCGCCAGCTAAGTGCATCATTGAGGTCTATTTATATGCGACAAGTCCTAAGACTCCTCATGCCAGTCAACGGTATTGTAGCTTACCTACTATCTTGGATTGTCATTGAGGAAGTCCTATCGTACAAATGTTATCTTGCTGCTGTTGCCGACCCTTTTTTGGAGTTTCAATAGGCAACTCGATCTGAGAAAACCATACGATCCCAAACTTTTGACTTCTCTGTATCTGTCCCATCCCTAATCATATCATTATTGGCTTCGTGAAATCGTGAGTAATTCGTTACATCATTGCTGGACGTTGAATCTTGGGTGGATACCCAACCCAACTGCCCTTTTTAAGTATGCGGATATGTCTTTAAGCAAGAGTGCTGTGTTCCTCTTGTTTGAGCTTCTTCTTCGTTACTGATACGCCGCCGCCTCGACACCTTTTCCTTTGATATCTCGAGTTTTCAGAAGCTCACGTAGACTACCCTCCGCACGGCCCTTAGTCGTTGGCAAAGTATCAGACGAACGCCAACTCATCCAACCACTAAGCGTGGACATCAAATTGCTCCTTTGGTTAGATGTCTCGATTGCAGATATAGAGCCATGGACAACCGGCTGATCAAGTCCTTCTGTGGCTGCGAGACACTTCTTTGGTAAACCAGGAAGATGGTCTTTGTTTGTTACCTCAGGTGCTGTTCGGATTTCGAGTTGGCTGCTGGATGTTTGAGGTAAGGCAGGCTCACTGACAAGACCAGCAGCCGTGGGTCGACTCGATTCCAAATCATTGAGGTGCATGCTCAGCCGATTGCCATCAATAAGGGCCAATGAACCAGACCGTTTTGGACGAGGTGACCGTTGTCTGACATCCTCCTCTTCCAGAAACACGTTCTCGCTGGCTCCTCCTTCAGACGAGACCGATGATCCGTGTTCGCTGGACCCTTTTTGTGCGGCTCTGCCGCGAACGTCCTCGGCAATCTCTGCAGCCGACTTCTTCTTTGCTTTATCCTCATCCGATGATCTACTCGATGACATTATGGTCTCCAATGTTCCCATGGCTCTGCTGTTCCTCCTCACGCCCATCGGTCGTTTTCTAGATCGTTTGATGTTCCTCTCATCATCGGATGACACAGCTTGAAGGGTGGGTCCCTGAGCCTCCTGGCTCTCGATAGCTGGAGCCATAAAAGACGAGCCTGAGCCATGGGGGGCATAATGAACTTCATACTGGTTGCTAAGAGAGTATCGTGACTTAGCACAGATCTCTGCGATACGGTCCAGATCAGCATTTATATCAGTACCGCCACTCTGGTCTTCTAGATTGGCCATAAAGCTTTTGAAGCGGAAGGCTTCGACAGATGGAAGTTTCGGCTCCTCTGGTTCATTCTCGAGTCGTTTCTTTGTTCGGTTTCTCGCCATTGTACCCATAATTCCATTCCGGACCGAGGCAGAACCTGTACCAAAAGGCAGCACTCGTCGTACGAAAGCTGAAGGGCCGCTACTCTCTGATAGTGCTGAGCGGTGCCCTCGACCGTTGACAACAATGACTCCTCTGTCCGCAGGCTGTGCTGGTACAGGGGCGTAGTAACTTCGCACGATCACAGGCTGCGAATAGGTACTGCTCTGGGCACCAGTAGACTGTGCGTATCGATGACGAGTGGGAAAATTGGAATTCAACTCTCGAAGAGCTGACGTTCGATGCTCAGCAGTGGAATTGTCAACAGGAATAGGCTTTCCCTCTGCAGTTGAGGGCACCAGGCTCGTCGATGAGGCGTTCGTCTGGAATAGGGGTGGGAAGGAGAATTGAAGAGAGTGTGGACGTGGTTTGCTGAGGGCCGGTGTTGATGAGGTCGACGTGGAGGCGTGGTGTCGAGATGGTTTGTGTTGATGGATTTGGGGCGGCTGGGGGGGCTCCTCTGGAGAAGGGGATCGCATGATGGAGAATTGGGACCTGACTCCGTATATATATAGTGTGAGTGTGTGTATGTGTGTGTTGTGCTTGTCTTTGTATACAAGTATAGGAGTTGGAGGCGATAGCGCGAGGTGTTGATTCGGGTCAAGCGCAAATGTCACCCCAGGTGTGCACCAATTGGGGCGGGCATTGGATGCTCCGAAGCGGCAGGACGATAAGGTACTATACTCGAGCTTTGCATATGGGCTTGTAGCTAGTATCTGTACAGACGTGTACACTTGAGGGTGGCAAGCGAACGCTGAAATGGGGAAGCTGTTGGGATGATGATTGTCGTGGTTAACAGTCGGTCTAGGATACCTATGCAAGGTGTCCCGGGGATTAGCTGCAAAGGCAGCGGTAAAGAAGCAAGTGTAGAAAACTAGGTACCTTTGGACTAGCTCCTAGGCTGGTAGTGTGTAGCAAGGTACATATGTCAGGAACGATGTGCTCCGAACAATTTGGCGCATCAACCCCAGAGGCTATGTGAATTGGACAGCTAGAACAATGAATGGCGAGTGATGGGAGCCAGCAAGGCAAGAAAACGTAAAACCATGAAGTCTGGTTTGATTTTGTCTTGTCTTGTCTTGTCTTGCCTCGTCTTGTCTTGGCTGATGGTCGAGCCGTTGATGCAATACGCGGTGCAAGTGGGTCGATGGATGCGGGAGATGCAACAGACAGTAGCAAAAAGCACAGTATGGCACTCTTCGGCTACAAATACGGCGTAGTAAGACAAGGGGTTTAATTTGTTCGTGGTGGAGATGTGGGATGAGAGTTGATAGATGATAAGATTGCAGGAAGAGGAGAGGAGAGGCAATAAGTCAGGTAGAGAGCCTGTCCAGTTGGTACCTCCAATGTTGAAGAGAATGGAATGCTGGTTGTACAGTCAGGCAGGCCTCTAACTTGAAGCTACCTTACTTCACAACACTGTATCTAAGACAGCAAGCTGCAAGAGCAATAGGTGACTTAGAAAATAAAGGAAAGAAGAGGGGATCTTCTCTCTCACATGCGTTTCGTTGCTTTTCCCTCCAGGTCCATTGATATTAATTCTTGAGGCTTATAGGAAGTAGCAAAGCCAATCAGGACAACCCAAATTTGGCCCTTATGCATGAGTGTCGTGGCTGTCGATAATTAGGCACTCAGTGAAAGGATCAAGCTCGTCTCGGGCGACGTCCCCGCATTGTCTCTCATTGGCCTGCATCTATTATGTAGCTCTCGGCAACATATCCCTATTTACCCTGAACCACCTCGATGAGAACATTCATTGCTCACAAATATACAGCCTGTCGAAAGCTGGGTTTATTCCTACCAACTCTGGCAAAACTAACAAATGATAAACCTACGAACTAGGAGCTACCTATTGAATCGTGTGTCGGTGTCTATGGTATATTTGAAACCATGCCTGGCAAATAGGTTGCCACAACATATGTACTGGCTGTAGGACGGTACATATGTAGTTCTAATATGGATAATAGGCACGTATCTATGCACATGCAGAAATGGCCAAGGCGGACAACTCACACCTCGAAGTCATTACGCAGCAAACTTTGTACATTAGTTCCCAGTACGTTCCTAATGTTATTCGATTCTACATACAGAGATATTTAATAATACGGACTATACATACAGGCGTTGTGGTATCCTCTCTCTATGATTGGAGTTTCAACCCCTTCCCTTTACCAGCATGGACGAATATCGAAATCTAACTTGAATTCAACATTCTCTAAGACGTACTATATGTCTTTCGACACTAGCGTACTAATATCGTATTGACACTGCGTCACCATTCTCACACCAGGCCAGTTGATTTAACAACAAACCACATCACTCTGTATATAACCCAAAGGTTAGGCAGGCATCAGCTCCTTGCACCACCTTTATCGCTGCCGATGTCGGCGAATATGCAACACCCAGTTGATGCAGACAACTTCGCCTGAATTCCAAGACAGCCAATAACTAGAGTCGATTACCACCAACATCTATTCATTTCATGCTGCGCGTCCCATTGTTCCATAGCCCTGTCCGCCAGTCTGCACGTTGTCGGAGTAAATGCCAGGCGCAGGTCCAGTCGCAAAACGACCCTCGCGCGCCTGTTCTCGGCGGTCGTAGTAGATGTACTCAAGGTAGAAGGCGTGGATATGACCTGGAAGGAAGCCAAGAAGGGTCAAGCAGATGTTGATGAACAGATCTGAGAACGTCAGCATGTGAGTGCAGCCAGATGAAGAGATGTTGCATACCCATTCCACATCCTGCAACGGCCCAGACGCCGATGGGAGGGACTGCGACTACATTAGTTTTGCTTTGCATTGTGCGATCAGGAGGAGTCTGTGACTGACAGAAAATCGTGATGAGGATAAGGAAGACGGCAGAAATAGCACCCATGGTTGCAACCTGTTAATGCAAGGTTGAGAGAAGTTTAGAGGTAGTTGTGTCGGTAACTCAAGAAGTCGCAAGTTCTCGTTCTGATAGCTGAGAGAAAACGTAACTGAAAGAGAGAGAAAATAAACAAGTAGGGTTGTCGCAGAAGTCGTCGAAAATGCGCGCCACATAAATAATACCAAGTAATGATGCCTTCGCTACCTGTCACGAACATCTACATAGGTATTCTTGATTGTAACGCCAGGGAAGCTATGACGTAGGCCACGTCGGCATAAAATTTGCCGTGACAAATCCCAAGAAACCGTCTTGTGGCGAAGCCTCCAACAGCAGCCCATACCCTGGTACCTACTACAGTAGAGTGATTTTCTACGAAAAGAGATCGATCCCGAGCTTGATATTCGAGTCCAGGAGACCGACCTTAGCATGACTTACTGAACGACATAGCATGCAATGTAATTCCCAGGCATTATTATCAGAAGTGCGTGAGATCTTTGACATGAGGAACCTATTGTCGCTGACCTATTAAATCATTCACCAGTGATTCTAACCAATTACCAACAGCACAAGAGGTTAGGCCACTGTAGACCACCACCCAAACGCGACAATGCTCAGAATGTCACTATCACCTGCATCATGTTGTTCATATCACAGCGGTTCCTGTCTTGATTAGCACTTCAGTGGAACGTAGAGTTGCAATGATTCTTACATACCCATCCTCCCTAGCCAGTGCTGCGTCGAAAAGGTGCATCAATGTGCGAACATGTGATGAGCTGTGTCAGAAGGTTTTTATGGCTAATAGGTATCAGCTGCGAAAGTCCGGTTCCCAAGGCGAAGGAGGTGGCTGAGCTCCAGGGGACAGGTCGTTTATATCAGACGAGCTGCTCGTCACTCATCGATTATTGTGGAAGTTGAATACTCACCTAGGTACCTAGTCTCATCACTGGCTTAGATTGAGGAGGAGAGACAGACTCTCCATGATCAAAAGTACCATTCCGTTACCTGGTCACCTTCACATTGATAAGGAAGGAAAGAAAGAATCAGAGCACAAGAAAATATGGCTCAACTGTATGCTACGGTGTAGTGGAATGTAAATAAGAAATGCTTTTGCTTAAAGAATAATATATATAGGTATATTACAGTATCGTGTCTTTGCTTCTGGTTGGAAGAATGAGCAGCTTTTCTCAGAGTGTTGGATTCGGTCACCTCTGCCTTCACGTCAGTAGCTTTTGGCCACTGAACGTCGTACCCTTTCTAAAGATGAACCTGAGGTACTGATACCGAGGTGAACCCGTAAATGGTGTTATTACAATCCTTGTTGGCCACCAGCCGAAACTCATCAGAGTCACCCCCTTGCCTGGCATAGTGATACTCTGGCATGACTGACCTTTATAACCCTGTGGTCCCGAAAGAAAATAGTAAGTTATTGATGGACGACGTTTCCAGGGCTCTATTTATAGCTGGGGTAATATTGGCCAAGGTAGTCAGATAATCTCGCTACTCTATTTGGGAGCATTCAGAAGTTGGACTAGATTCATCTGCGTCCTGGCCTCAAGAACTCCTTAGAGCATATATGAACTACGAAGACTTGCGGCCTGTTTCGGTGAACTTCTTGGCTATCGGCCCTCGCCCTGGGATCCAGAATATAGACTGTGACCCCTACTCTTCATAAGCGACGTTGTCCGTCCTGTATGTAGTAAAGCCGCTCAACGTTTACCCAGCAAAACAGGCTCATCAATCAACCTTGGACATTATTACAGAGTACACAACGCAGCAGACGTAATGTGCAGACATGATTCGCTGGCAAGTTAGGCTACTCAACGAGGTTTACTTTGATCAACTCAGCATGAGGAAGATCCAAAGTCAAATGGCAGCAGAAAAGAGAAGAGGTGAGAGGGGTCTACATCATTGTGGACTGACTGATGTAGTTGGAGCGAGGTTGATGACGCCTCACCTCAGGCGGTAAATCTGTGTCCGCGCACGGGTGGGACTTTGTCGTGTGCTAGGCCATCCTGCCTGACTGATGATGGATTTCTGCTATTCTTATAGTAACTAGTAAGGTAATTATTAAAATGCGACAAAGCGCAAGGCAGATGAGTGTGAATAAGCGTTTGAAGAGCACATTGTCTAGTTGAATCAGTGGCAGCAGAACAGAATCGAGGTCGGAGCAGGCTCCGATAATGAGGCTGACACTGTACTGTTGGCTTTCGCCCTGCCTGAGCGGAGATTGCTGTTAGTCGAGCAGCCACAACAGTGTCTGCGGTTGACCATTTCTAACTATAGTACGTTAGATTACCGTTACGAATCCGTCAATCTGTTCACATGGAACTCAAACCTCAGAGGCATTGAATTGATTTGCTGGAGTATTATCATCAATGCGTCTCGAATCTAGCACAGCAACTTCACATCCATTCCTTTCCCTTGGTACCTCAGTCATGCATACGCACCGTGAAATGTGGTTGGTAATGGTACGCGCGGTCGCTGCGAGAAATCAGCGGGTTGGGTAAAAGGCTGCCCAGCTTTTACTGAGGTGCATGGAAGGGTTGGGAGGACGAATTACGAACTGTCAAAAACGTGGAGTATGGGCGGTAGGGTTACTTGTAGTCTTGGCGAAGGTACCTTATACTACCTATTCATGACGATATTGATGTGTTGAGCGGAATGGCAAGGTTCGAACTATCAAGCCGAGTTTGAGGTGGTAGGATTCGGACGCATCGGAAAGTGAAGATTTTCAAGCTGGCTTAGAAATTGTCCCAATTCAAGAGCGGCTGTGTCAGTGTCAGGATCTTTTAACACTTCATTATCACACGTTGAGGAGGTACGAGCCGGAACATGTTCATTTATTAACAAAAAAGCTTCGTGAGGTACCTAGGTAAGATACCTCGGGCAAGGAAACCGAGAGCAGCCTTTCGAAGTCAAGCGCTTTGAACACCCAGAAGTTGTAATCAGGTCAACAACGTTTACGGAATATTGGCCAGTCAAGCCTTGCCTTCGTCAATTGACTTCAACGGTGAATAGCTTAGGTAAGTATAGGGGTTTACCGGGACACCTCATTCTGAGCCACAAAGGTGTCTGGATTAGAAGAATATCTGGACATCATGAGGTGGCTCCCGTTTATAGTCCGCTATTTCAAAGTACTACCTAGCTACTGTAGGTATTGAAGCTGTGTTTCCCCTTGCAGGTGGCTGTGGCTCCCAATTCTCAACGCAAAGCAGCCTGAGTGCTCAAGAAAGGCCAACATCGACATGTTGGTAGCAGAACTTACTTGAAGGTTTGAGCTTCGATAGCAATAGGCATTTTTAACGCCTCCAAGAGCGATATCTGCCAACTGATTGCAGAATCCACCTTCCACAGATAATCTCTTATGACCTAACGATATGCTATGCTGCCCATGAAGTTGAACAATCGCCCTTCATTCATGGCCGGCTCTTTAAATAACCTGGTAGCGTGTGCTGACATTCTCCACTACATTACCTACGGGGCCTGATCCCCTAGGAGAGAAAGCACCCGCCTCAGGCCCATTTCGTGTTTGGCACCAACTCCCCTGAAGGCTGGAAGCTGCCATTTCAACTACTGGCCACATCCACATCCGTTCCGCTTCCCGTCAACTTCCCGCTCACCCACCTCACGTATACCTTTCTACCTCTTTCATCGCGAGCTGGCCGGGCCACGGGCTAGTTGCACATAATATTTCTTTGCCTTTCGAGTGTTTATCACTACGACGATCTCAAGGAATCCACGAGACCCCCTTGTAGTTCGCCGCTGCCGCCTCGTCTGCGCTGCCAGCAAATCAGATACTGATTCTTCTCACCTCCCAAACTCGCAGCCGACCCTCGTCCGAGCGATTCCGTCGCGAATATGGCCTCACAACAACTTCCTCAGCTTAACATCGATCGATATGTTGTCATCCATGTTGCGACTACCTGCGACGAGCACGGCGTTTATGTGACAAAAGACTCGGCCGAAGTAATTGAGCTTGGTTGGATCCTGGTCGACGCAAACTCACTTGAGGAGGTGAGAAACACCACCCTGCCCCGGCCAAAAACCCCCCCCAAAATTTTCCTTGTGTTCCAAATTCTCCTCCAAAAGCATTCAATGCTTCCATATAACACACAGATTGCTGACTAGCCTTGTCACTGCCAGATTACTCATGAGAGCGTCCTGGTCAAGCCCGTCAATACTCCAATTACGCCCCTCTGCAGTAAGTTTTCTTACGCTAATGGCTCACCTTTTCCATTACATATGCTCCACGCTGCTCTCTTTCGTCCAGACAATTGCCCAAATGCCAAAACCCAATATTGCTGGCCTTTCATGTCGAGGTAAAATATTTTAGCTAACCCACTGTTTTCGCAGCGAGCCTGACAACCTTGACTTGGGAGCATGTTCGAAACGCTGGTACCTTTAGAGACGCTATCACCCGATTCGATACATTCGCTACCGAGTACTTAACCTCCAAGAACCTCGATTTCGTCTTCGTCACTCTTGACGCATGGGACCTCCGTGTTCAGCTGCCTCGCGAAGCCCGCGACAAGGCTGTGGTTCTCCCTCCTTACTTGCAGCACTCACGCACTTTCGATCTCCGCACCGAGTACCAGCGCTGGCAGCAACACCACCCTGAGTCTCTGCCATTCGGACCTTCGATGCTTTCCAACATTTGCGCCGCTCTCGAAGTTGAGCCCGTCCAGTCGAGTGCTCCGATTAAGCACAACCTTCCATTCCACCTCCAGGCTCTTGCCCCTGCCTCGCCACGACGTGCAATGGAAGAGGCTGTCACTCTTGCCCGAGTCCTCCGGGGGTTGATTCGTAAGTCGCAGCCTCCCCAGGAGCATCCCGATGTCTTGACTCGGCCCATGGATGCCCGGGCCGATGTTCGAGCTTTTCTCTCGGAGAGGAGCAAGGTTCTTCACATGTCGGGACTTCCCCACGATACTACTCAGTCCGAGCTCGAAAGTTGGTTCACTCAGTTCGGTGGCCGACCCATTGCATTCTGGACTCTTCGAACCCCTGAACAGCATAAGCCCACCGGCACCGGATTTGCCGTATTCTCTTCTCATGAGGAGGTAAGTCTAATAGTTCCCTCATCAAGTCTCATCTTGCGCCATTTCCATCTTCTTGGTGCCAACATGTGTTATCTGTCATGCTAATCAGTTATAGGCCGCTGAGAGCCTTTGTATGAATGGTCGTGCCCTTAATGAGAAGGCCATTGAGGTCTCGCCCTCCTCCAGCCGTGTCCTCGACCGCGCTCAGGACATACTGACTCCGTTCCCTCCTAGCAAGAACCGCCCTAGGCCTGGTGACTGGACCTGCCCTTCTTGCGGGTTCTCCAACTTCCAGCGTCGAACTGCTTGCTTCCGATGCTCGTTCCCTGCTGTCGGCGCCGGCCCTTCGAACGATATGGGCGGCGGCAACAACAATTACGGTGGTGGATATGGTTACGGACCTCCTGCTATGATGCCCCCCCCTCCTCATGGTGGTCACCACGGGCCTATGGGTCATGGCGGTGGTCGTATGGGCGGTAGCGGTGTGGTGCCTTTCCGTGCCGGTGACTGGAAGTGTGGTAACGAGGTCTGTGGCTACCATAATTTCGCGAAGAACGTTTGCTGTCTTCGATGTGGTGCCAGCCGCGCAGGCGCAGCTGTTGTTGCTGATTCTGGATACCCTTCTCCCATGGACAATGCCTCTCAGTACGGGATGAACCAGGGATCCATGGGAGGTGCTCCAGGACCCGGACCTTTCGGCTCTGGTAGCTCCTTCGGGGGCTCTGGTGGTGGCTACAATCAACAACACTTTGGAGGCCCTCCCAGCCACTACCTTCCCTCGGGTCTCGGAGGTGGTGCTGCCGCTTACCCTAGCTCCCTGAACACTCACGGCAGTTTTGGATCTGGACCTGCTTCCCATGCGGCTGGCCCTTTCGATAGTCGTGCTGCTGAGGCTGCGTTCCAGTCAGCCACCAATGGGCCTGCATCTGGTGGGCCATCTAACAACTTTTATAACAATAACGCCAACAACAACGGTGGCAATACCGAGAACGACCCCTTTGCTTTCCTTTCCAGCGGCATTGGAGGACTTTCAGTTAGTGGAGGAGATGGCCGTCAGAACGGTGGTTCTGCCCCTCCCAACAAGTCGCCTGCTTAAACAGTAAAAGACTGTTACAGCCGATCCGCTGTGTATTTCCTGGGTCACCCTTCCATGTATATGGACCCGGGTGATACGTGCCGCTTTATTTTTTCGCGAAATTTCTTTGATGACGAACATAGAACACTTGTGACTGCAAACCCTGTGCAATCAGATCTATCAAAGGAAAGGTGGAACGGTGTGTGTATTGGTTCGGAAGGTCTGGTCGGAGTGACGGATAATTGATTATAAGGCGGGATGTGTTACAAAATTTCAAAGGTTGGGAAGACAAAAGTGACTTGCTTACTTTGCTGGGACCAGGGCCTCCTTTCTCTGGTGTTGCCGGTTGAGTCCATATGGTACGGGCTTTGCTTACTGGGGCCGCTGTCTGTTTTATGTTTCACAAGACTGGAGACGGCATGTTGCGGCTTTTCTTTCCTCCTCTTGCCATGAGGGCAAAGGAAGATCCGTAGAGCTGTTGGCGATCTGGTCTATGGTCTCTGGGCTTCAGGGGCTGGTGGTGGTATTGCTGGAAAACGGTTACGGGGTTGGGTGCATAGCGAAGGGGAGTGTGTAAGGATATTTCTTGGCCTTTGTCTGACTCAGTTATCCAGTTCACACAAAGTCGGCGGCTCATTACCCGACAAACTAACTGTTTTTCTCTATTGCCTGTCTCTCATATCTACCCTCATCTTCTGTTTTTACCGCTGTCACTCATTCTCTCCCATATGAGTTTGACATTGTCTTTCTCACGTTGCTCAGTTGTCTTGATAATCTCTGCATCTTTCTATCTTCATCTGATTTTGCTTGGGACGCGCAGGTGCTGGGGAGCAGGATGGGGTGGCTAATAGGAACCTAAGCCACGGTAGGGAGGAGTCGGGGTGTCAAAATGGATGTTATGTCCCATGGGCTGGCTAAAGCTGCATCTTTGCTGTTCACAGGAGCTGACGATGTGGCAGTATGTCGCCAGTCCTACCTAGGTACTATCTGGATTCCTTACAGTTCTACTAGGGACTATGGCTTTGTCTACACAATAGGGTTCAGAAACTTGGCTGGGCAAGATCGATTAGGCCGGCTGCTATGGCCGTTGGAGGTTGTCATTTATTTCGTCTACATATTGTATTTCTTCCTCTCATTGAACTACCCTCTCATGATCGATAGGTAATTCTTTAGACATCAACTCTCCCTGCTTTTCACATTATGTCTTGCATACTAGATCAATATAGGATGCTCAAGAAGTACTTTGACTTATAACCTCTTATTTTCTCCTTTTTCCTTCCATTGGAGGCCAGCCAATGATGGGTCCAGAAACAAAAGAAGGTGACTGATCGAGAGTGGTACAAGGATTCGCTATTCGCTTGTTGTCTAACCAGGGCGATCTTATGCCATGCGTTTTGAAGTTGCAAGTGTCTTTTGTACCTTCATTCCTTCATAACCCTACTGCCCATTGTTGTTCAAGTTGTTACCGGCGGCCTGGTTCTGGATACCCATCGTATTGGGCGCGGTGGCGAAAGGGGGTTGACCAGAGCTTCCATTAGTAAACCAGATGTCCCAGGTCCTGGCCATTTTGTAATCGGCATCATTCACCTCGGGGGGTGAGTTGACGAAGAGTTCGCTGAGCGTGGTATTCCAGGCCTCAATCTCCTCTCTTCGAACAGGGACGTCCATTTCTCCCATCATCTCAGCGACTTCGTCAGCAGAAATTTCCTGATTCCCGACGCGAATTGCCTCTCCACCAGCTGGTATGTCGCTCATGCTATCTTCAGGTGATGAGCTTTCGTTAGGTGTGGCAGGCATGCGATATCCACGGTTGATCTCGGCGTTGATGTCGTATTCGCCGTCGCTCTCGTCGTCAGCGTCGTCGGACTCCCTGTCCCAGTCTAGGTCCTCGTGGTCAACTGATGACCAGGCCATGGCACGGAGGTGTTCATCCGCATCATCGTCCTTAATCTCCTGTTGCTGTTCAGGGGTGAGTTCATTCCAGCGTTTCTTGAGAGCGTGCTTGCGCTGCCAATGGTGAGTGTTGTCGGCTTTGTTGAGCTTCTCATCTTCATCTGAGATGTACATCTCTTCTTCGGTAGGGACGAGGTTCTCTCCCGTCTCAAAGTCAATATAGCCCCATACCATCATTTGAGTGATGTGGTCGTCTAGATGGAGTCCACGGGAGACTGCCTCGATCGGCAATATCTGATCAGGGCGCCCGAGATGAAGGACACCTTTACCCCAGCCTTCCAAGTGACCAAGGCCAACCTCGTGGACAGGAACGCCATAAGCCGAGGGGTATTTTTCTCTCTGAATGAGACCCCAAACAGATCTAGGGAGGAGCAAGTCGTAGCGGGCCTTGAGCTCCATGCATTCTGACATAGTCCTGTATTTCTGTCGCATGAGGCATTGCCACAGGGGATACAAGCCTTTCTGACCCATCATGAGCTTAACCATGTCAATGCTGATCGGGCTGAAAAAGGGGTGTGTAAAGGCCATCGAAAGCTTGACCATAAAGAACTGCGCGTTGTAGAGGTGGATGTCGGTCCAATACTTTCTGCTTCTCAGGAATAGTTGTCTCTGGCGCGTAGTAGGGATGTCAAGTAGGACCCAGAGTCGGAGAAGGGTGCTGTGCATTGTGTGTGGCATACGAAAACCCATGCGAGCCATCATTGCGATGATCTCGCGACAGTATCGATCACGGCCGATGACCAACTCAAGGTACTTGAAACCAGGAATCAGTCGAATCTGGCTGGGGTTTGTCTTCGTGGTTTCCCAGCGGCCTTCAAGGAACCGAGCATCATGAGTACTCGAGTTGCGGTCCGCTGGATCCTTGATGAGGGTTTTTCCATAGAGCTTCCAGTGAAAGACCTCCCCAGCCTCGGGCGCATTGGTGTCAATCCACATACGAATGCAGGAGAGCATATGTCCCGTAATTGCTTTTCGAAATGCAGGACTGGCGATGTACAGGCCCACGATGTCTCTGGGAGAGAGGTGCTTACCAACCTCAATGGCAAGCTCAAGGTTACAGCAGAGAGCCGTGATAAGATCGAGACTGGTGTGCTTGAGACTCAGGGTGAGATGATCAACTTCATTCTCAATTTCATAGGGATTCTCTCCTTCAAAATGACCATGAGCATAAGCTTTCGAGAACTTGACCCTCTTTGCGATGCTTAGTTGGCTGTCAGGCTCCTTGATTTCGACATCAGGGCCCAGATCGATGTTTGTGTCCATATATTCGTTCCCATGTTCGTCATAGTCTTCAGGATCGACGCCCATTGCGGCAAGTTCTTCGTTTGTGCGAGATTCGCGAGCAACTGCTTCCTCGAGGCGACGTCGCATGCCATCTGTTAGGAGTTCAAATTGCCGCTCTGGATGTGTGAGGAGCTCATCTGAGGACTGGACTTGGCCTTGGCCCTGGTCCTGGGGAGTAGTCTGAGAGTTGACACCGGACTGAGCCGTGTTACTCGTAGCTGGCTGCATGTTGAAGGTATTACGAGGGACGTTGTGTGGTGCAGATGGTCCCGCATCTGGATGAGATGGGTTGAAAGCCATAAGGATTGCGAAGAAAGAATAGATGAAAGCTCAGAGGTGGTTAAATGATGTAGCGAGATTTGCGGCCGTGTGATTGTAGAAAGCTGAAGTAGAAAACCGTAGTGCAAAGATACCCAGTCGTGCTTCGTGGGGCATGATTCAAGAAACAATAGCCAGGCGGCTGGCCACTGACGACGGAGTCGAACAACAGGGAACAAACAGTATCGAATTAGGGCACCTAAGTTGCCGTGGGAAGAAGAGTCACCAGGTCAACTAGAGACAAGAGATGAGCCGCCAGGTGCTGCCAGTGTCAAAGGTGCCACGCACTCGCGAGAAATTCGCGACACTGCAAAGAGCTGGAGTACTGAAGAACAAAAAGCATTTTATTTAATCCAGGGAGACACGTGAATAATTTGTTTGTTATCTCCTTTAGGCCTCAAGCCCCCTTTGACTAGTATGCCTGGCACTAGGATAACTATGTCGCCCCTCAATGCTGGTGGCATCTGTCTCTTGAAGCCACCGCCTCCAGAGCTGCTGCGTCTCCTCATCCTATGAAGGCCGGAACTTCTCCACGAACTTCCACCTCACCTATCGGTCGAGCTCATCGACAGGCAAGTCGCCGTCGTCCTTACCGACAATGGACTCAGCTACCTTCCAGATCTGCAGCAGATTGTCTTCCGCAGCGCTTGCTACAAGCCAAGGCTCGTTGAGATTCCAGCTGAAGTCAGCCAAATGGTTTGTATGACCGCCGTGCATGAAGAGTCTAGATTTGTTAGCTTTTTATTAAAATCAAGCCCTGGCAGTTTCTGGACGTACAATTCAGGGGGGCCATCATCCTGGTCGTCGGGCAATACCTCCTCGCCAACCCGCGAAAGATCCCAAAAGATGATTCTTCGATCATAGCTGGCACTTCCCAGGATACCAGCCTCAGTCGGGTGCCAGGCTAGGGATGTAACAGCATCGTTGTGACCTTCCAAAGTGTGGACCTTCTCCTTGACATTTCTGAGGTCCCAGATGCCGATCGTCTTGTCGGCTGAGGCAGTGGCCACGAGCACTTCCGAGTTGGGGTTGAACGCCAGAGCATTGATCGCATCAAGATGGCCGCGTTTAGCAACAACTGCTGCCTTGGCGGTCTCGCTGTGACGTACGTCAACAATTTGGAGAGTCTGATCGTCGGACACAGAACCAATGAAGTTCTTTGAGATTGGATGATACTGAACGTCGTTGACGATCTGGGTGTGATGAGTGTACTTGCGAGAAGGATTGAGGATCCTCGAATCACCCTTAAGGGTCTTCAAGTCCCTAAGTACAGTATGTGAGCAGAGCATTCTGAGTACCAGCGATAAATACTTACCAAAGACACATTGTGGTATCCTCGCTACCAGACGCTAAGCACCCCTCCTCATGAGGGTTCCAGTTCAGGCCGAAACCTTCGGCCTTGTGTCCAACAAGCTCGATCTGAGCGTTGACCTTTCCAAGGGAAGTGGGCTGGAGAGGGTGCTTTGTTCGGTCGAAGATGAGGATCTTGCCATCCACACAAAGAGTGGCGATGATGTCAGGGTTCTGAGGCTGATATCGAGCCTTGTTAACTTCTCCGGGGTGCTCGATCTTCTGAACAATCTCACACTTGATAGCAGCGACATCACCAGGCTTGCCGTAGCCACCAATCTCGCCTCGCTCCTCATCATAGTCCTTGGGATTGGGCGCTACAGCCTTTGGAATCTGAACATTGGCAATCTGAAGAAAGTTGGGGCTCTCATCTGAAGTGTGAGTGCCAAGCAGGAGGCGGTGAACTGAGTAATTCTTGCCCTCTGGCTCCTTGACGTCGGGAAACCATTGGACTGTAAGAGTCGGCCAAGTCAGAGCCGTTCTGGAAGATGAATGTTAGATCAAGAATTCGTGGTAGTGATCAAAGACCTATGACTTGCCCGAGAATCATGTCATACAAGAACGGGCTGTTTTTCTTCCATGTCTTGTACTCTGTTTAGTGTTAGTACGATTAGTCCATATTCTTGTCATTGTTTTCTCCATACCTTCATTAATCATGCGCTCGCCCTGATCATCATCATCTTCGTGAGTCATCTCGACTGCATTAATGTCAGTAACCATGTCTGTGCAAGTTTGCGGTTACGGGCAAGTTTAATTGCTTGCTTGTGAAGCGCAAACTCACTGTCAACATCACGCTCTGCGGATTGAGCAGGTGCCATGATAACTTTTCGTATTTGCTGAGTTGAATATTTTGAGGTTGTTTAGAATGTGAAGGAAATGCGTAAGATAATGGTAAAGGCAAAGTAGGTAACCTAGCAAATCGTTGGTGGTAAGAAATTGTGTGCACGGCTGAGGATGATGAGTGTAGTTGACCAGGAAGGCTGAAAAGTGCCCAAGGTCGCGTCGCGCGTAAAGTGACTGACAGCACCTAGCAACGGTGAGCCACAGCGAGTGGAAGATCCTGTGGCTAGAGTACCCCACAATCCACCACGGGCAGTTGACTCACAGCGGGGAGTAGAGCAGTTAAGGTACATAGGCAGTACTTCACATGTCACACAAGTTGGCGGAGAGTATAAGTATCATAAAAGTAGATCACTGAGCCCCTCCATCACAGGCTCAGAGCCCCACCATCTCGCCGTAGGTCCTGGATTCCCTCAATGACTCTTGGACTTCACGATAACACGATTCGCCTTCATCTTCACCTTCTACCTCATAAACCTTCACGGAACCCGACGGTACCCTACGATACTGCTCATCTACGGAGTATCGTGCAGTATCACTTGCTGAGGTCTGATCGCTCAGCTATAGCACTATCCGCTCAAAGATTGTTTGCCGCCACGTTGACTTACTCTCCTGTCCCGCGATCCTGTTTTTACAGGACTTTCCACGTTTCCCGCCCAGTTTCTTAGGGGTGTGTTCCCAATAAAACATCACTTTCAATACATTTGACATTTTGTGTGGACTGGAAACTATCCACGACCCGTCAAGATGGGGTGTGTACCTCTCGCTGCTCTTCATCTCTACCTTCAATAGCTGATTCTTTTCGTCGCAGTGTCCCCAAGTTCTTCAGATGGCTCTCCGAACGATATCCTGCCATTTCTCAACTCATCGCAGAAAACCGAATACCCGAATTCGACTGCCTTTATGTTCGTTGTCCGATGCCTCCTGTCATCCCTCTACGCATGCATGCTGACCGTCGCCTAGCTCGACATGAATGGTATCATCCATAACTGTACCCATAAGGATGCGGGCGAGGATGTATCATTCCGCCTCAGCGAGGAGGAAATGTTCATTCGCATATTCAACTACATTGAGCATTTGTTTGGAAAGATTAAGCCCAAACAACTCTTCTTCATGGCTATTGATGGTGTTGCGCCACGAGCCAAGATGAACCAGCAACGTTCTCGACGTTTTAGGACTGCCCTCGATGCTGAGAAGGCCCGTGAAAAGGCCATCAAGGAAGGTGTTGAGATTCCCAAAGAGGAACCGTTCGACAGCAACTGCATCACCCCTGGTATGTTAAATTTACCAGGAATATCAATGACAAAATCTGATAAATCGCAGGAACGGAGTTCATGGCAAAATTGTCCCAGCAATTGAGGTATTTTGTCAACAAGAAGGTGTCCGAGGACACAGATTGGCAGGGTTGTGAAATTGTGCTATCCGGCCACGAAGTTCCTGGCGAGGGAGAGCACAAGATCATGGAATATATTCGAAATGCTAAAGCTCAGCCGAACTACAACCAAAACGTCAGGCACTGTCTTTATGGTCTTGATGCTGATCTGATCATGCTCGGTCTGCTCAGCCATGACCCTCATTTCTGTCTTCTCCGAGAAGAGGTTACATTTGGACGGGCGTCAAAGACCAAGTCCAAAGAACTCGAGCACCAGAACTTCTATCTGCTTCATCTTTGCATAGTGAGGGAGTATTTGGAGATGGAATTTCAGGAGCTTCAAGAGGACGGGGCCCTGAGTTTTCCCTTTGATCTGGAAAGAGTCATTGATGACTTTATTTTGATGGCGTTCTTCGTGGGAAACGATTTCTTGCCCAACCTACCCAGTTTGCACATTAATGAAGGTGCTTTGGCGAAAATGTTTAGAATCTACAAATCTATCCTCCCAAAATGCGATGGATACATGAACGAGAATGGAGTTATCAATATGGAGCGACTACAGCGCCTCCTCGGCGAACTTTCCAAGACCGAAATCGATGCATTCGAGAACGACGTATCCGATGAAAAATGGTTCGCGTCGAAACAGATGGAAAAGAAACTCGAAAACAAAAACGCCGAAGCGAAAGCGCCCAAAGGGGGTCAGCTGGTGATCACCTCAGCGCAGCGCGATTTATGGAAACAAAAGATTCGACCCTACATTTCGAAACGCTCCGAACAACCTTTGGACCTCGGTACAAGTCTCAAGGCTGCTGATCGTAAGTTTGTTCAGGATTTGGCTGATTCAATGCACCTCCAGTGGTCCACTAAGGAGGACGATGAGGGGCACCGTCATCTGATTGTATCTTTCCCCCCGAAGGTCAAGGATGATGCCGATGACGACGAAGAGGATGATGATGACGATGAGGAGGGCAATCTAGCTGCCTACCGGGTAATGAAGACGTACGACAAGGCATTGGTGATCGACTTGACTCCCGACGATGCTCAGAAGCATTACGAGAAGCTCTACCAAGACAAGTACCAGGGTTGGAAGACAAAATACTATCTCCAGAAGTTTGAAGAGTGGGCACCTGACAATTACGACAAGGAGCTTACAGCGCTTTGTGAGAACTACGTCCAGGGGCTTCAGTGGGTCTTGTACTACTACTATCAAGGAATTGCATCATGGCCTTGGTTCTACGGGTACCATTATGCACCTCTTATTTCAGGTATGTGATACGGCGGTATATGAGTTCTTGTAGCTGACAAAACGTAGATGTCGTCAAGGGTGTTGGTGCGGACCTCAACTTCAAAAAAGGCCAACCTTTTTTGCCGTACGAACAACTCATGGGTGTGTTGCCGGACCGGAGTAAGAAGATCGTCCCTAAGGTTTACCACGACCTGATGACGAATCCTGATTCTCCAATCATTGACTTTTATCCACGAGACTTCGAGCTGGACATGAATGGCAAGAAAATGGACTGGGAAGCAGTTATCAAGATTCCCTTCATCGACGAAAAGCGCTTATTGGCCGCGATGGCCCCCAAAAATGAGTTGCTGGAACCTGATGAGAAGGCTCGCAACGGGTTTGGCGTTCCTCTGAAGTTCACATATTCCCCTGAAGTCGATTTTGTGTATCCTTCACCACTACCTGGTGTTTTCCCTGAGATCCAGAACTGTCGCTGTATTGAGAATATCTTCGACCTTCCGGACATGGAGGGACTTGAATACTTGTCAGGCTTGACTAACGGTGCTTTGCTAAGCGTCGATGCACTGGCCGGCTTCCCTTCGCTGCACACCCTTCCGTATACCGCCCAACTCGTTGAAGGGTACGGTGTTAATGTATTCCAGGCTGACAGCAGAAACCCAAGCATCTGTGTCACACTGACTGAAACCGAGAATCGTACCAAGACAGAAACTTGGAAGGCCAAAATAGGCCATCGATGCTTCGTTGGATACCCATTCCTTCAGGAAGCCAAAGTCATCAAGGTGCAAGACGAACTTTTCAGCTACGAAATGGCCGAAAACGGCAAAGACATTGTGACAAAGGACCACAATAACAGGGAGGCTGCCGATTGGGCCAAGGAAGCTGATTACCTGGAGAACTGGCATGCCAAACGCTTAGCAATCACCATCGGACAGGTTGAGAGTTTGGTATATGTCCATATGCTGAAGGGCCTCATTCGTACGGAGGAGGGTGCCCTGATCAAAGAGTATGCTGAGAATCCCAGCCTGAGAAGCACCTATGCTGCGCAAACCATTGTTGACGAAGTCGTTAACGAAGATGAGCGCTTCATTGAAAAAGAGGCGTTGCCAATCGAGGAAGAATTCCCTCGGGGTACTCGTGCATTCTTCCTGGGCGAGTACGCATACGGACGTCCCCTTGAAGTCGCTTCCCACGCCAATAACAAGGCTGAGATCGTTGTTTCGATGCTGAAGAATAAGGAACCGGACTTTGCGAAGCAAATTATCCACCAAGCAGAACGCTCCAACCCCTACACCCCTTCTTTTGCTGTTGCCAAGCAGTTGGGAATCCATCCTCTTGTCCTAAGCAAGATTACGTCTTCGTATCAAATTATCAATTCTGCTGGACTTCGACTGAATTTGGGACTGAATTTGAAATTTGAAGGACGAAAACTCAAGGTTTTGGGGTACTCAAGGAAGTCTCACACGGGTTGGGAATTCAGTGGCATGGCAATCAAGTTGATTGCTGACTACATGGTTGCCTTCCCCGATTTCTTCGCTGCCATCCAGAGGGAACCTCAGAAGAGTGAGGTTCTCGAAACAGATCTTTGGAATGACCCCAGTGTTGCTTCGCAAAGAGTTAAGGAGATTGTGGCCTGGCTCAAGAAGCAGGAGACCAGCAAGTTCGAGCGTGTTCCTTTAGAAGCTGAGCAACTCGACTCCGAGGTTGTCAAGGCCCTGGCTAATGTCGGAGAACAAATTCATGCTGCTTCTCAAGATATTGATATCAAGAAACTGCGTGGCGTTCCTCGTTCAGCGCTTCTCAAGCCGTCAGATGCTGAGATGGTGCTCAGCAGCCAGAACTTTACCCTGGGAGATCGGGTAACTTACGTCTCTGCCGCTGGAAAAGTTCCTATCGCGACTCGTGGAACTGTTGCTGGTATCAGCCGCACAGCTACCGCTCTGCTTTTAGATGTTGTCTGGGACACATCGTTCATGAGTGGCACCACGCTTAATGAGAGAGCTCCAATGTTCCGCGGACAGACTGTGGCATCTTCTTCGGTCCTGAATACCACGAACAAACAAGTAATCTCAACCACAAGCAAGTCACAACAGCGACGACCAGTCATCGCCGCTCAAGGTGGATATGCGAATGTTGGCGTCACTCAGTATAAGGATGCTCCAGCACCTGGTCCGCTTCGCGGTGGGTGGCGCGGAGCCTTGAATGGCTCCAACTCACCAGGACGCAACTCCCCTGGACGAGGACGAGGCAATGGCGCTCGTGGAGGTGCCCCTAACCTCATGCACAGCACCTTGGTTTACCGAAATGGCCCTCCCGACGGCGCGACTCAAGGCCAGGGCGCTAATGGGCACGGAACTCGAGGTAGAGGAGGTCGTGGTCGCGCACGCGGTACACATCATGGTTCTCCAGGTCCTGATGGGCACCAGGGGGTCGAGCCTCCGCAGGAACAGAGATATGGCAATGTTCCACCACCAGCCAGCCTTGACTCACCTCGAGGCAGGGGCCGTGGACGTGGACGTGGTGGAAGAGGGCGAGGCGGGGCCAGCCGCGGACGAGGCAACGGAGGAGCTGCTGCTGATGGAACCCAAGGCTAGATGCCTCGCAGTTCTGATTCATACTTGTACTGGCGATGACGGATGGATTGTTCATGATGCCGTGTCTTACAACATGATGTTGAAATGCTTGGATTGTTTGTAACATAGCCAACGTTGGGATAAAAGTTGTGGATGTGAAAATGTATGATAGATAAAAGCTAGATACCTGTATCACGGAGTCACGAGTGCGAACAGATCTTGTCAGAGGGATCATGGCCGCAGGAGTTACAATCATGGCTTTGCCCAAGACCCGGGCGCCATATTACACTATGAATGCATTTTCAAGAACACAAATGTATTTGTCTACCATTAGTAGCTCTTCTTGGGAGCATCTTTCTTCTTAGTCTTGAGAGCAGGAAGTTGGAACTTGGGCGACTCTCCCCATTTCAAAGCCCTCCAGTGACCGATATCCCGGGACTGATCCCAAGTTAGAAAACCGACCCACGGTTGAACGTTGTAATGTAGCTTAAGCTTCACATCATCTGTCTCGGCGACCTTTCCACTGGGGTGGGTGATCTGATACTTTGGCTTCTGATTCTTGAGACCGATAAAGCCACTATAACATCTTTAGGTTATATGTAAATACTTGTGAATATACGGAGACTTACCGTTCAGGGTCGATGGACTTGCCCTCAGAGCTACGCTTGAGCTTCTTCATCGCAACGGGTCCAATGTTCTGGAGATGGTCGGCGCTGGGGTTGGTGATAATTTTATCCCAGATGACAGCCTCATTGGTCGAATTGTTGGGGCCAGGCCACTCGGCAGTGACATAGACAAAAACCTGCTTGGTATTCCATGTAAAGAGGCTCCTCAAGTCAGCATCGAGGTTGAATCGAATGATGGCGTATTCCTCCTTCTTAGAGCTGTAGTAGTGCGGTCGGCCCTTCACACTGCAAGACAGAAGATAGTTAGTATATAATGTTCGATTCTAGAAGGAAAAGACATACACTTGGGCGTTTGTCTTCTGGAATATGCCAGCATCGGGCGCCCGTGGAGCCAAGAGGTCGGACGCAGCGATAAAAGCTGCGACCACAAATGCGACAGTGGTAAAGAAACCAAAGGTGTTCTGAATACGAGTAAGAGAATTGTACATGGTGAGCTTTTGATTAGCTGCAGTTGCAGCTTTTGCTCTCAAAGTGTTGTACAAAAAGAAAAGGAGAGCTTGAAGGAGGGACGTTGACGATGTCGCGTCTTGGTGTTCAAGTCGTTGGAGCTACTGGCCACGTTTTGGGACGGACGAGACCTGCAGTCTAAGTTAGGTGAGTGCTGGAGCTGTGAGGTTTCAGCCTTGTGATTGGGCCGCTGTGTGTTCCATGAACTCCACTGTCCAGTTGGACTGGATTCAGTAAAGAATCATATAAAACATATTGATGAATGTGGACATGGGAATCCCTCATATTCCAACATTCACACAGGACTTTCAGCGTCGCATGTTGAAACAGCATAGGTACCCAAATCAATAGAACCTGTCGGACCTCTTCAACCCCATCAGATTGGACCCTTCGAGGCTAACATTTTGACAACTCAGTAATCCTACCTTACCTAGTCACCACTATCTGGGCTCCAAGTTTCTGCCGAAGTCGCACTAAATTGGAGCGTAGCCCCACTAGAAGCCAGCCAAGCCAGCGTTTAATGGTCTCGCTAGAACCGTCCATTCAAACTTGCATTGAACAGCTCCGGGAAGACAATACATACCCGATTCAGGAAGTCCCTGTTCTTTACTCATGAAAATTTGTACTCTTCCAAATACTTGACGACCCGGCCTGTGACTCAGGGAACACCGGCTATCTGCTGCGCGAACTTCTGGCGGCTGCTGATGACCGCCTCATAGCTTGACGCATCGTGAACTGCCAGGGAGAAAAGCTGGAGGCCCACGCACAGTCTTCGTCAATAGGTGACCAGTGGAGGAAAAAGGCTCGATGGGAGTGCGCATTGCTCTTCTTCTTTCCTTTCCATACTGCTGTGTATTCCGCTGAGCTTCGCTCTAATTCGCTTTAGCCCTCTCGCACGCTATTACTCCACCGCCAACTCTTTCCCGGACTATGGGTAGGCTCCTTGTCCACTCTTTGTGAAATGTTCCTGCTGACACCTTCTGGAGAGCTCCGGGTGACGAAGCGAAGATGAAATCACGGATTGTCAGTCTTTTACTGCGCTTGCAAAAACCCATCCCAGTTGCTGATATTCAGAGCAGAGAGCGATCAACGACCAGAAACCACGAAGCTCAATGGGTGGCGGGCAACCTACTGAAGCAAGAAGTTACTATAGCGAACCTCGAGATGATCGACCAAACAAGCGAGTCAAGCCATCCGGACCTGAATTATCCAACACAAATTTGTCCCGCTTCTTCCCTACGGGTTCTCTTCACCGGCCGCTAGAAGCAATCGAAGACGAAGAACCGCAAACCTCGCAGCAAAAGTATCATGACTTGACCCGAGAAGACTCTATGGTCGAAACTATCGATGGCTCAAGCATCATCAGTTTCGGTAGGACTGCAGGAGCTACGAGCAACCAGCAAGAGTACCGGAATGTTCACCGTCAGAACAGCGTGAAACGTACCCGGCGGCGACGCAGACACGAATCCAAAATATCTTCGTCGCCTATCGAGATTGACGATACGAGTGCCGTTGCGCACCGAAACCTTGCTCCTCAAACCTCACACCCCCCTACGAGCCCGGACCAGTTAGTTAGGGAAAATGAGGACGGTCCGCCACCCGCCAACATCACGTCTGATGTTGTCTCGCAGCCAAAGCGACCAGCAACAGAATATAGCCAGAGTGCGCCAAAGCGGTTCAAGGTGCACCCGCAGCAGTCTGATGATGAGCTTGCGCCTAGAGCTCCCGGAGGCCGTGAGACAGCCAAGAAGCCTAGTTTCCCGAAGCTAATTTCACAACCGCGAACCCAACGGGGTGACATACAGCCTACCACGTTCAAAACAACAAAAGCCATGCCGGGGCGCGAAACCTTGGCTAACAAGGGATCAGCGTTGAAAGAGGTTCCCTTAGAGGCTGCGATATGTGGGAAATACTCGTTCTCCCCAGCAGACAATATTGAGCCAGTCACACTTCGACTTGGTCCAGATGCTGCTGAGCCCATGCATGAGAATAGCGGAGACCTATCCTGGCTTCAAGTTTTGCGGTCGTCAGTCAAAGGTGTAAAACACAATAACACTAATAGCCCTATTGTCCTCATTAGCCGCTCAGCCAGAACATCTTTCTCCTGCGGCAAACTCGCACTCAAGTTTGTGAGCGATGCAGACGCCTCATTCTTCATCCACTGGTTGCACGGCTTGCCATGCCTCGTTCAACACGAGACGTAAGTGCTTATCGAAACTTCATGGCTTTCTAAGATAAACTAACAATTCCTCAGAGACAAGCTAGATGCAACATTCCATTGCGCAAAGAAAGAGGCCGATGGTTACAGGACAAACTCAGCGAAGGCATCTGGTATATTCTTACCGGATGATAGTCATAGAGCCAACAGTGCCAGACCTCAACAGCACCACAGAGATCCTTTCTTAGGTGATCCTGTCTCGCCTGGCCTTCCTAACTCGAAACAAAAGAAGCTCAAGGATGGAATGCAAAGCATCTCTCAACCAAAAGAAGATGTACAAATGGAAACACTCGACACCGATGATTTGTTCACAGGGTTGGCTCGCAACCAAAGGCTCGGGACTCGGCACTTAACAAGAAGGGAATCTCCACAATCTCAACATGAAAGAACTCCGAAACCATGGACGGCTTGCAATCCTGGTTGGGAGAAAAAATGGCACAGATCTTTGGTGTGGCCTCCAACAGGAAAGAACCGGGCAACAGTCGATAGAGATGATATTCAACGGCTGGATGAAGGCGAATTTCTTAACGACAATATTATCAGCTTTTATCTTCGCTACCTACAAGACCAGCTTGAGAAAGAGCGACCAGAGGTCCTAAAGAAGGTGTACATTTTTAGTACATTTTTCTTCGAGAAGCTAAGATCGAGTCGCGGCAAGATTAATTATGATGGGGTCAAAGCCTGGACTGCCCGAGTCGAACTGCTGTCATACGAGTTCATTGTTGTTCCCGTCAACGAAAACGCGCACTGGTACCTGGCCATCATCTACAATGCACCTCGTCTTCTGCAACAAGAGGTGAAAGCGGAAACAAACATCAAGAAGGAGTCTTCGAGCCCACAAGATGCAATAATTGTTGAGGATAATGACCCGGTATTGAATGTTGCGGAGAGTCCCCCTGCTGCAACGAAGTCTTCCATTGTGTCTATGGATGTGGAAGTTACCCGCTCAACCAGAAGCCGGGCGATTAATGACAGCAACTCTTCTCTAATTGGTGACAAGCATACGCCGAACATAGTGACTCCTGGCAAAACGAGCAAGCGACAATCAACTGGAGGGAATCAGAAGTTCAGCCTTGACGATTCAAAAATTATTACACTCGATTCGCTAGGCTCATCGCATGCACCAACCTGCAGGTGTCTAAAGGACTATCTCCTTGAGGAAGCAAAGCACAAGAAGGGACTCGAGATCGCTAGTGTACCCAGCGGCATGACTGCCCGAGGCATTCCGATGCAAGACAATTTCTGCGACTGTGGTGTGTACGTCCTGGGTTACATGGAAAATTTCCTGAAGGACCCGGATGAGGCTGTTCGAAGACTCCTTCACAAAGAAGACACCGAATGGGAAATCAACGCCCCTGAGATTCGTGCCAAGGTGAGGGATCTTCTCTTCGAATGTCAAGAGAAGCAGCACGAGCGTCTAGAAAAAGAAAAGGAGATTAAGAGACAACGGAGGGCAACAAAGGGTCCCGTCTCCTCACCACAGATAGCTGCCTCTTCGCCACAGGTGCCCCGAAGAGAACCAGAGACACCACAAGTTAGCCGTTATCTAACAAGCCCGTCAGTAAACGGTGCCAGTGGCTCACCCTTTGAGGCGGCTCGACAAACAGGGACCACTTCTTCATATTTTGCAGTCGCTTCTGCCGAGAGGCCAAGCCAGTCCCCAACGTCTAAAAGAAATGATGAACCATCCCTCATCCAACCTCTCAGAGAGGACTCGGGAAATGAGTCTAAGGCCTCTAGCTCAGGAGATGTATATCATTCGGCTCGATCATCGCCTATCAACAGCGTACCACCTGTGCCTTCTGGTTTGACCACAGAAGGGTCGCGCGACGAGCGGACGCCCAAGCAGCCTTCAACCCCTGAATTCGTACACAGGTTACCAGACTCGCCCGACGACATGGGCCCAACAGCCACTTCATCTACTGTGAAGAAAACTAGTTCGCCGCTGCTCTCTCTAGTAACAAGACAGCATCCCTCACCAGGATCTCAAGGCAGCCAGCGAGCTGTTCAGCTCGAACAGACTGTTGTGAGAAGCATAGAGGACGACATGTCACCTCCAAGAGGACCACAATATGATGGAGTTGATCAGTCCATCGACTTGACAGTATAGGGTTGTCTCTGTCTTCGTCGGTGATGGCACGACGAGTTTGTCTATGAGAACAGGGTGTCATAGGGGGTTTGGTCCTTATAGCTATGTATGATTAAGATAATTCCAGGTGCCATATCATGTTATCACTACAGGTACCTAGGTTCCGGTTGCTTGGGGCACGAAATCGGAAGGGAAGGAGCTGACATAACGAAAGGGAGACATTAGAGGTGTAGAAAGATGATTAAAGTTTATACCCATCACAAAGGCTTTTTCCTATTTAACACCCGACTCCTGAAGCATCATCGGTCCCCAGACCTATTCATCCCCAATATGCTAATGATATATAAGATGTGGTATGAGTTGCAGTCTCCGCCACGTCTATTGAGTGGTTGATTGTCAAGTATCTATTATGCTTTTTATTCATCTTGCTCGTCGCCATTCGAGCTCTCGTTCGTGCCGTTTACCACTGGCCGCTGTATCCTTGGAATCTCGAATATGAAACCTCCATTGCGTCCAGCCTTGACGGGAGGGTTCCATCTGCCAAGTCGATGTTCGTTTCCGATAGCTACAACCACGCAAAGACCATCTTTGCCTCTGTCACCACGCTCAAATATATCGATATCGTTTACAACACCATGAAGAGGACCATGAACATTCTCCTCATGGGACGCCTTCTCTCCATCTTCAGGCTTGGCGAGGACACCACTGAACTCAATCTTGCGCTTATCCTCACTAAGTTGCCAGATTCGAATATGACCATCCCAACTGCCAGTGAGAATAACGTCAGAGTAGGGAATGGTTCGGATAGCGGTGATCCAGCGGGGTGTGGGAGGTGGAACGATCTTAGGGTCTGGGTTCACCTCGGCCGATGCCTCCTCGGGCTCCAGGGGCGGGTCAATACCATGTGCGATGGGCTCTATGTACACAGGCTTCTTCTTCTGCACACTCCATAGAGCAAGGGCACCGTTGTCGCTACCCGTGACAAAGAGATCATCGTCGATCATGGCGACACGGTCCATGCTACCTTCGTGGAGGAGAGATCGAGGGTGAACACCCGTGGGACGTGACTTCTTGTCTACAGCACCACCGCGGAAGACAAGTTGTGTCTCCTCGGCGACCTTCCAGAGACGCGCAGTACGGTCCCGTGCCCCAACGCTAACACATCGCTCTTGCGCAAGGGCATCGACATCGAGAATTTCGTCCTGGTGACCAAACAGCGTTTCAACGTAGGCCATTTCGTCTAAGCTCCAGACCTTGACCGTGCGATCCTTGGAGCATGAGTAAAGCTGGTTCGTTCCTCTTCGGAAGACGAGTCCAGTAACAGCGTCCCTGTGATGTGTGAAAACCTTGATGGGCTTGAGGGCATGGGCGTCGTAGATAATAAGCTTCCGGTCTGCGCCACCAGTAGCTACATATTTACCATCGGGAGAGGCTGCAACAGCAAGAATACGGTCTGTATGGCGCTGGTAGTTTTTGTCTTTTGACTTTGTCGTATTTCCCTTTAACCACGCCTCCAGCTCAGGCCGCTTCCTTGGAGGTGCTGGGGGCTTCTTTGGCTTGCGCTTGGTTGTCTGTGGGTACTGGTGTTGTGGGAGATCTTGGGTCTTCCATTTTTGTAGATATAGATCCTTCGTCGTGGTATAAATGTAGGGGGCGCATATAGCGATAGCGGTGACGGTGTTGGTGTTGCTTCGAAAGAAGGTGCGCGAAGCGTTGTCAAATCCCAATTCCGAGGCCAATTGGCGATATACTCGACCCTTGCCCTCTGCTACATCCTCCTGCAGTCGCTCGGCAATCAGATCTCGGTCGATATCGGCAGCATCAAAACCAGCTTCGTCCACGTGCTCCTTGACATTTTCGAGGTATCGCTCTGCTAGCCGCAATCTTCGCTCAGCGGCAGTCTCACCCTCCTCATCATCAGACTCGTTGTCTTCCATTTCCACATCGCTCGCGACTGAGGCGCTATCGTAGCTCTCGTCATCGTCTGAATCGCTCCCAGAGATAGACTCGTCGTCTCGCTCGACTCGCTTTTTGGTGGGGCCGGCATTCTTCGAATTTGTCTTGCCAGCAGATTTTGAGGGCGCAACTCTTTTCTTTGGTTGCTCTGACGTCTCAGTACGCTTGCGCTTCTTCTGTGCACCTGGAACCGTAAAAAAGGACGACATTGTGGCAACGTCGTGAACTTGGCTGTCTGCTCACGACTTTTGAACCCGCCTCGAAGATAAATTTCTAGACTCAGAAAAAAAAAGTTGAGCGACAGTGGATCGCGGAAAATCTGTCTGACACTCAAGCATTCAACTGACCAGTCATAGCTTGGTAGGTGGGTCTGGTTTTTCCGTTTCAGGCGGTAGAGAGAGGCATAAACAAATCTGGTATGGGAAGCTTCCCGGGCAAGTGTTGACGCGCAGCGCTACAGCCTAAGGAGAGCTTGCTTGCTTGGTTGCTACTACTGGACCTTGAAGAAGGCTGAACAACTACCTGGAATAACTCCTCCACAACAACATACCGACTCTTCCTCCACTACAAATCAAATCATCGTCAATATGTAAGCTACCCACAAGCTGCATCTACTGCTCCAGACTTTCCTAACATTGATAAACAGGGAGGTGCTTTTGGGAATCACTGGAAAGGACTTCACTATCATTGCAGCATCCAAGGCTGCGATGCGGGGCGCCACCATCCTCAAGGCATCCGATGACAAGACCAGAGCTCTCAACAAGCATACACTTCTCGCATTCTCTGGAGAGGCCGGCGACACAGGTACTTGAATTAGCTTCACGTCGACAGGCTCCGTGATGACGACGGCTAACGCTCACTCCGCAGTGCAATTCGCCGAATACATTCAACGAAATGCCCAGCTCTACTCGATGCGAAACGAGTCCGATCTTTCTCCCTCTGGCCTGGCTCACTTTGTCCGTGGAGAGCTAGCCACTAGTCTGCGATCTCGAAAGCCCTACAATGTCAACCTTCTCATGGGTGGTGTTGACCCCATCACTGGCAAGCCCTCGCTCTACTGGCTCGACTATCTAGCGTCGCTAGCAGATGTTCCTTATGCTGCGCATGGATACGCACAGTACGTTATTGCGAGGACTATGGTCTCAGGACAAAATATATGAATGGACTTGGACTGGTGCTGATTTGTAACATCACAGATACTACTGCCTGTCTATCCTCGATAAGCACCATCACCCCGATATCACGCTCCACCAGGGCATCAAGATCCTGACAATGTGCACCGACGAACTGAAGCGCCGATTACCGATCGACTTCAAGGGTATGGTAGTGAAGGCGGTCAAGGCCGATGGGATTGTCGACATAGAGTTTGATGATGACAAGGTTGTCAAAAGTGCTTGAGACCAGCGACAGACTGAAAGAAGCATGACTTTGTACTACTAGATGGGTATTAGAGGCTAATACTTGCATCATGAAGGTTTCCCAGCTTCGTCCGGACGATCTGTTCAGAAGCCGGGTCAGCGTGAATCGAGGGCCGTTTCGTTACAGCAGGGTTCAATCTATCTCAGGCCACCTATCTCGGCATGAATGCTACGTATCAATCGTGTCTCCAGCAACTCTCCGGTGGTTCAGGCATCTCTACTGCTAGCAATACCTACCTCCAACACTCGAAGGTCAGCCAGAGTGTGATTAGATTGCCTTTGATCCTTCCATGGCTACAAATGTCGTTTTTATGATATCGTGATTAATAATAGGTTGATGACTTGCATTATCGTAATTTGTCGTAAACTCTGTATATGCTTTGAAAACAAGCATCTTGTGTTTTCATGATCGAGGCTTCGCATCATGGCTGACTTCGTACATGCATATAATATATCACTGCCTCATAACATCTTATAGTTCGACGTCAGAATAAGGAGACACAATAAAGCAATTATAATTACGTCTAACACTGATATCTCTAAGTGAAAACCGTATCTGACCATGTTCCGTAGAAACCATACAGCAGTATCATTCAACTAATAGTGTTTTAGACATAGCTCTACTTGATCTTTATTATTGAGAGGCTAAACAGTACGATGGATCCAGTCCAGTTCGCCCAGTATCTTATGCCCAATATCCAGATTATATCTCATAATAAGCATAGATAAGACGACCGTGGAGCCTCGATGAGGTTGGTCAAGAAGCATTCCTAGAAGCAACTCTGTCCTGCCAGTAGGCTTACTATTTCGGTCTCTTACGCCCCAGCTCAGGTCCTGGCTCCAGACGTCATGCGAGGCTGATGAAAAATCGGTATGGAGGGCAGTATTACTGACCACGTGGATGAAGGGCTATATCTGCGTCATTCATATGAATTTTCATCATGCAATCGGCCATTGGATGGTTGCAATGAGCAGCAGATTCTTTCCAGATTTTCAAAATCTCCGTCGTGATGCTAAATCCGGACTACTGAAGCGTGGGTGCATGGGAGATCCGTAAGGGTGGTCTCGTCCAAATTGATGTACTGCGGAGTACAGTTACGTATTTGCCATGAGGCATCTGGGTGAGTGTGTAGGCAGTTCTTGGGGAAGTTAGTAGGTTTAAAAAAAAACCGAATAATATTCCTAGTCTTTTTGGACTCGGTTCATGTCTTTTATCCAAATATCTTATAATTTACCATCGATTATATCATTTTCGCTGGACGAACTTCCGCTTTTGCTTACAGGCTCTGTACAACCTGGATATAGACATGCACAAGGAATGGTAAGATCATATTCGCCAGGCGTCAATGTTTGGTGAGCTGCATGTCTGGTACTGAATCGTATTGTTTCTAGTTGTCAGATCGCTCGTGTCCCGCTTATCGGAGATTTTCAGGCTGCCGCGATCCAACTTACTTTATTTTACAGGATCCATTAGCTGTTACAACGTAGCCAAACCAGGGCCGACGGGACAAGCTCAGGGTCCTTGCATATCCCTGTATGTTCCTGTGTTACACAGTCTTCCTAGCGGTCTTTGGCAAGATTGTTCAAACAAAAAGCTGACGCATTTTCTGTGTCCGTAATTGTTTTATTGTTCCCTAAAACCATTTATCGAGACATGCCGAGTCGCAAGTATTGTAGTTAGATCCTAGTTCTGACACCAGATCCGGTAGAGTGCAGGGTCTTCGACATTGTCACCAGTGCCTCAAGTCAAATTACCTAAGTGCATACATAGGAGTGGCCGGTCAATTGTTCATGTATCGCTTTCTCTTCATAGCCAGTTATGTAGCTGCGTTTCCCATGGCCTTTGCTTGGCCTTTGTTGACCTCACTGTCCTGTTACCATCTCATACCTGACAATCAAAGTAAACTTACCTACGGAGTAGGTGGCATCAAAATAAACCCATCACTGGGCGACAATCGTCATCACCTGTGGTTGCCAGGAGTCCCCTATTAACCCACTTTGCCCCAGCCCATCTGGGCTGTTAGCCCGCCCCAGAATCTGGCTTAGTATCGAGGTACTGGTCAAGTACCTGAGGTTCCACGGTTTCTAAGTGATGCCCCTTGCCTCGAGTTACTCAACGCGTGCTTCCACCCGGATTCTTTGCCCTTCTGCAATTGCCTCCCTTGCTGGCCCATGTAATTTCTAGGCTTTGAAAAGATACAGATTAGAATCAGGTAGTGCCCGCCATTTGACTACTGTGTAAGTTTCACAGCAAGTACAGGGTCCTCGAGGTTCTGACGTCTGCACCATTAACAGCGATTCAGGACAATTCTTTTGTCCACTTAGAAGAGTCTACGGCTGAGCTAGTGCGCTCTCCATCATAAGTACCAGGTTAGTCACTTTTCTCTTTTTCTGCCCAGCCACTTCAAGCCTCTTGACAAGCATTTTTTATGTCTCTCCACCAAACTCCGAACTTCACTGGCTGCATCAGCCGTGAGCGGTGGCCAAAAGATACTTCTCGGAGACCTCGAGGCTCGCCTCGCCCACTCACGGCCTTCCCTGACCCACTCTCACTCTAAAATCCTCCCACTCGCCTTCACCGCAGAGCAACCCCCTCCAAAAATCTTGAACTCGACAGATGCCCGCACTAAGCCTATTTGATCACATCAACCAATTTTTTTTTCCCACTCTTCTTTCGCCTCTCTCTCTCAACTCTGTCCCTTTTCTTCTCTTCCTCCCACAACAAACCCTTCATCCCACAAACCTCCTCCATCCCCCCTCCATCCGTGTTATTTTTCAAGACTCTGTCTTTCCTTCGTCTCTCCTTTGAAGATTCTGCGTGTTCTTCGAGGGATAATTGCATAGCACTGACATTTGTTTGTGCTCAAAAGTAATCTATTTCGGGAAATTATTGGAAGCGTTGGTCTTCCGTTTCTTTCTCTCTTGTCTTTCCTGTCTTTTCTTCCGACGGGAATTTCACAACACCATCACTCTCTTTCGCATTTGAGAGTATTATTCGCCGGCTTCGGATTTCTACGCGTCTTTACGACCCAACTATCTTTCTACGTCTATTCTGATCCGAATCACGACTGTCATCATGGCTGATCAAATCAACATGGGTGGTCTCTCCCTCAACGATGGCGCCCAGCAGGGCCCTCCTCAGGGTCAACGATCCTACATCCCCCCTCACATGCGCCGCCAGGGCGGTGCTCCCCAGGGTGGTCCTCCTGCTATGAACGGTGGTCCTCCTCCTTCTGGACCTGGTCCCAATGGTCTTGGCAACAGTGCATGGGCTAAGTAAGTGTTTCTTTTTATCTACATGAACTTGATCGAACAGTCACTAACAACTCGCAGCCAAAACTATGGTGCCCGTCAATCCAACTGGGGCAACGACGTTCCCACCTATCAGAACAACAACAACAACAACCGCCGGGGCGGCTGGGGCGGTCGAGGTGGTTACAGCGGTGGTGGCGGCAACTTGGATGGTCACTCTGGAGGCGGTGGTGGTTACGCTGCCCGCGGCTCTGGTGATGGCCAGTGGCGCGATGGAAAGCACGTTCCTGGCCCGGCTAACCCCCGTGTCGAGCGCGAGCTTTTTGGTACCCCCGATGACCCTTCCAAGCAGCACACCGGTATCAACTTCGAGAAGTACGATGACATTCCCGTTGAGGCTTCTGGTCATGAGGTTCCTGAGCCTGTCCACCAGTTCACCACTCCTCCTCTGGATGAGCATCTCTGCCGCAATATCGAGCTTGCTCACTACAAGGTTCCCACTCCTGTCCAGAAGTACTCGATCCCCATTGTTATGGGTGGTCGTGATCTGATGGCCTGTGCTCAGACTGGTTCCGGAAAGACGGGTGGTTTCTTGTTCCCCATCCTCTCTCAGGCCTTCATCAACGGCCCTTCTCCCGTGCCCGCTAATGCCGCTGGCCAGTTCGGCCGTCAGCGCAAGGCTTACCCCACCTCTTTGATTCTTGCCCCTACCCGCGAACTTGTCTCCCAGATTTTTGATGAATCCCGAAAGTTCGCCTACCGATCTTGGGTCCGACCTTGTGTTGTCTACGGCGGTGCCGATATTGGTTCCCAGCTCCGACAAATTGAGCGTGGCTGCGATTTGCTTGTTGCTACTCCTGGTCGATTGGTCGATCTCATAGAGCGAGGTCGCATCTCCCTGCAGAACATCAAGTATCTGGTCCTTGATGAGGCCGATCGCATGCTTGACATGGGTTTCGAGCCCCAGATTCGCCGCATTGTGGAGGGTGAGGACATGCCTCAAGTTCAGGACCGTCAGACTCTCATGTTCTCGGCTACCTTCCCCCGCGATATTCAGATGCTTGCCCGCGATTTCCTTAAGGACTATATCTTCCTTTCTGTCGGTCGTGTTGGTTCTACTTCAGAGAACATCACCCAGAAGGTTGAGTATGTCGAGGATGTCGACAAGCGCTCCGTTCTTCTGGATATCCTTCACTCCAACGCCAATGGTTTGACCCTGATTTTCGTCGAGACCAAGCGTATGGCCGATTCCCTTTCGGATTTCCTTATCAACCAGAACTTCCCAGCTACTTCCATTCACGGTGATCGTACCCAGCGTGAGCGTGAGCGCGCTCTTGAGTTTTTCCGCAACGGTCGATGCCCGATTTTGGTCGCTACCGCTGTCGCAGCTCGTGGGTTGGACATTCCGAATGTTTTGCATGTTATCAACTACGATCTTCCTACTGATGTTGATGACTACGTTCACCGAATTGGTCGAACCGGTCGTGCCGGAAACACCGGTATTGCGACCGCTTTCTTCAACCGAGGCAACCGTGGAATTGTTCGGGAGCTTATGGATCTCCTGAAGGAAGCTAACCAAGAGGTTCCTGCTTTCCTCGAGACCATTGCTCGTGAGTCTTCCTTCGGTGGTCGTGGTGGTCGTTCTCGTGGTGGTGGTGGCCGTGGTGGTGCAACACGTGACTTCCGTAAGTTCGGCGGCGGTGGTGGTGGCGGCTTTGGCGGCAACAACGGCGGCGGCGGCGGCTTCAATGCTCCTTCTCAGGGCTCAGGCTATGGTGGAGGCGGTTTCGGTGGCTCCGGCGGCTACGGAGGTGGTGGCTACAGCGGCGGCGGTGGCTACGGAGGTGGTGGTTATGGAAACCCCAGTGGCCCTGGAGCTCAGTCTTCTTGGTGGTAAACATCTCGCGCCATCGAGAAATGTGCACCTGACAAGGTGTGGAACGATGCTAGCGGACGCGTTCTGCAGCATCACCCGTTTGCGATTTTCTTTTATGTTTTTTTCTCGATGTTATCTGGTTGCATGCACGACTTGCATTTGGACGACACGGCGACACCATGATCTGTGGCAGACGAATGCCATCGCTACTGGCAACAG